ATTCTGCGGAAAAAAATATATCCCAGATGGCGAATAAAAATTAGGATTAAATATTTGCATAGTGTGCTGACACTTCACTCCATAAATATTGATATTTGAAATGACTTGATTAAGATTACATCTTCTTGTGTTGTTATGTATAAGCTGATATATAGCAAGTTTTTGCTAATATTGATATGTAATAAACAAGGTAGTAAACAAGTATGAAAGGCAGTGGTAGCCCAGTGGTAACACGCTCGCTTGGGACACCGAGTGAAGCGGGTTCAAATCCCGGGTCTCGCACCTCTGATATTTTCATGTGCGAATCATTTCTAACATGATTACCGCTTGCCTTACGGTGAAGGAAAACATCGTGAGGAAACCTGCATGTCTGAGAGAACCTAGCAAGTTTTCAAAAGACATGTGAAGTCCGCCAACCCGCACTTGGCCAGCGTGGTGGACTATGGCCTGATCCCCCCACGTATTGAAGGGAGGCCCGTGCCCAGCAGTGGGACATTAAAAAGGGCTGAATACAAACAAGTTAGTCTCTTCGGCTCCGGGCGCATCTGTCTATATTAATAGGTATTATGAAGAGGTAAAGTTTGTGAGATTGTGACGTTGTAGGGGGTAATCTCTGGATCTACTGAACCGATTTAGATGAAATTTGGTAAAAAGATAGTTTGAGACCCTGGGAAGGACATAGGATACAGGATACAGGACATAGGATTTTTATCCCGGAAATCATTCCTTAAGGGGGTTAAAATGGGTATGAAAGTTTGTATTGGGAAGCAAGCTAAAATTTACGTAAAGACTTTGTAGTAAGCAGTTTTTAAGATTATGGTCGTATTAAGCAGTTTATTTATTATATATATAACATATACGTATATATTTAAATAAAATTATTAAATTTTTTTTCGTCTCCATCCGTTGTTCGGTAGATTGTCAGAGTTCAAAATGTCAAAGCCAATTTTGACGGAACTTTAGGTACCAAGTGGGCGGCAACTTGGCAACTTATATAGTTGTTAATGTATAAAAACTGCTGGGCGGGTTTTTATGAAATTATGAACTTAAAACTTGCATCGCAATTAAAACAGAGTAAAGAAATTTGCCACCGCATAGTGTATCTATGTTTCATGTAAATAATGTAGTGTATCTGTTGTATATATATATATATATATATATATATATATATATATACAAATATCCGAAGTTATTTTTTTTTAAAGATCATTAATTTCGGAAAATACCATTAGAGAGATAATTTTGTATTATCTTAAGAAATAAAGATTTTCAGCAGGACAAAAAATAACATACTAAATAACAATTCCGTAGATTTAAAGTTTTTTTTTTAAATTGTACACTACTCAAACACGTTAAAAAAAAATAAAAGAGATGAGACGTGACGAAAACGCACGCGAAGCGGTGGAAACCAAGTAATGTACAACATGTAGAAAAGTATTAAATGTTTTTTTGACCTCGGGTATTAATACTTACATAAGGGTAATATTAATATCTATATTTTACACATGAATTTAGCAATATAATATATACGTACAAAAAAAATAATTTCTTTGCATAAATTTAATAAAAGATCAAAGGAATAATCTATTTTGTATAAATAAGAATAAAATTGTAGTAAATACGTTGAACGATATATGGCTCGCGAAGTTTCGTTATTTAACGCACTAATAAAACTTTCACACGCCTTCCTTTGATAATACACAAAAAATAACTAATTAATAAAAGTGATATATATTTATATTTGAGCTTTGAAGATTCGTAGCGCCGTCTTATAAATAGCGAACCGTTTCGACATCTAATTTACATAACGGAAACCATGTGGATTCTAAAAACGTCAGACGTTGTGTTCAATTAGTTTTTAAAAAATATATATATTTAGGCTGTTTCAAGATATATAAATTAATATAATGCATTGTTTATTTCAAAATACACGTGCATATAGCGGTAAGTTACATATTTATACCAAATCATAGGTATAATAATATGAGAAAAGCGGAAATAGGTCGTATAAGTGAGTGCAAAATGAAGGTTTATTAACACTAATCATTTAAATTACCAAGTGCCTTAGAGTAAGTTAAAACCTAAATATTTAGTGCCAAGAAAGTGAAAATAAGGCAATATTTTAATGGTACAGATATTATACGATAAAAAAAATATATTTTTATTTTCATGAAATACTTTGAGATTTCGAAACGTAAACTGATATTTAAATATATATTACTAGCGACTCACCCTCGCTTCGCTCGCTTTCGTCCCTGGGTATGTTTTAACGGTTAGTATGGAATAGATAGACTATAATACATATGCAGCTATGATGACTTGTTGTGGGTTGTATTAAAATATGTTTTTACGTGGGAATCATACAATATCCGGCGGTAAAAAGTAGCCTATGTCACTCTCCAGCCCTCCAACTATCTCAATACAAAAAATCACGCCCATCCGTCACTCTGCTTAGACATGGAAGAAGGACAAACAAATAAACGAAAAAACAATCAAACACAAACTTTCATATTTATAATATTAGTATGGATTTTATGGCATAAAATAATTCAGTAACATTACTCAAATTAATCAAATAACGTTACACACCAACTGATATATGCTCTTATAAGTTCTGAAAATATGACAATTATAACTATTTGTCATGAGTGCTTCTCGAACCCTTGACCTCCTGTATAGAGGCATACACTCCGACCACTGTGGAAGGTGGTTGTCTACGAGCGGTAATTTGGGTTTCGGTACATTATGGTCTAAGTAGCACCTTGCGGATTGACTGAGTATATAGGTCGGGTACGGTTGGTTAATTGATATACATGATGATGATGATGTTCTACTAGCCGATTCCGGCTACGGCAGCCAATCTCAATGAGATTAGCCAACTGCGCAGGAGATATTATAGTGCTCAAGTGTACGCGCAGACACAACGTGCACTCTCTATTACTGTCACTCTCATACTCCGGTGGGACGACGCGAAACACGACCGGTGAGTGTCGGCGCAGGACCGACGGCTTTACGTGGTCTCCGAGGCACGGGGGTGAAACACCGCCAACTTCCCAACTTCGGGCTGTTACTGAGACTTACTATACAGGAAGACTCAATAACTAAACTTGGCCCGACGCGGGACTCGAACCCAGGACCTCCGGGTGTGCCGCCGTACATGCTAGCCACTACACCACCGAAGCAGTTAAAGTTGATATATCATATACATTATATCTTACTAATATTATAAATGTGAAAGTTTAGATGGATGTTTGTATGTTTGTTACTCAATCACGCCAGAACGGATGGACGGATCTGGATAAAATTTGGCACGGAAATAGATTATAGTCTGGAATAGCACATAGGCTACATTTTATCCCCAAAAAATGTTCAATCCCCGTGGGATAGATTTGTTTCTGTTTTTCTAGAGGCGAACCCGATCGAAGCAAGGGTGAGCCGCTAGTTATACTATATATTATTTCTATACGAATTCGAACCTCTAAACGATATTTCTCTTTTTAACCTTGTGAAGACTATGGTAGACCATGCAATATAGGCACTTTCTAAAGCAATAAAGCATTATATACAAATTAAATTTCTTTTAAAACTCTATTTCCTCTCTACCTACTTCAAAAGGGAATGGCGTATATATGTACATGTTAAGTATACATATATAGTCCATCGATTTCACTTTAGTGTTAGAAAGGTCAAGTAAAGATAGTCTGTCTGTATGAGCGCCAGAAGCGCCATGTGAAAATGCTCAATGTAAAGTTATTTATTTTTCAATAAACAAATCGCAATTTTATGAGAATTTTGTCTTCAAACAAGCCGTTAGTGTTGCATTGAACTCTATCACGGTTAATGTTAGTTTGAATTGTTGTTGCAATGAAATGAAATGCTAACTAAAAAAAACTGTACTTCGATATCGATGAATTTTAAAAAGTTAAAGTTGGAAACGGGCTTCAAATAAGAGAATATTTGCTATATTTTAAACACATTTTTATATGTAAATAAAATAGTTATGTTCACTCAAAAGTTTTCGCAACGAGCGCCATCTACTGTACAGGGAGAAAAAAATAGGCTACAGATTGAATCAAATTAGAAATAGAAGTATCTGTACTAGAACTGTATATATCATCTGTGTTATCTATACTTATATTATAAACAGATAAAGTTTGTGAGTTTGTGACGTTGTAGGGGGTAATCTCTGGACCTACAGAACTGATTTAGATGAAATTTGGTAAGAAAATAGTTTGAGACCCTGGGAAGGACATAGGATACTTTTTATCCCGGATATCATTCCTTAAGGGGGTTAAAATGGGTATGAAAGTTTGTTTTGGGAAGCAATCTAAGGACGAACACGAGCGAAGCGAGGTCGCTAGTAAGTAATAAAGTCACTATTAATGTAAAATATATCATTTTTCTACAGTAATATAATATATTAGCATACTTTATAATAATTTAATCTTGTCTATACAATTTTCTTGTGAGATAATGCTCGCTGCATTCTATCATCATACTTAAATCTATATTTATTCTTCAAAAAAAAACCTATTCCGGTTATTTATAGCATCACAATTCGGAATACTCTACAAGAACTTTTTAAAAATAATTGGTGTACTTATGGTTGCATTTTAATTTATACATATATTGATACATATCATAGCTGTCCGACAAATTATATATCAGTTGTTAGTTAAGAAACAGTGACTATGTATCGCAATATTATAAACTAATATTTTTTTAAGAGCAACTGTTCAATTTCTGGCTGGCTCTTCTCAGCAGAACTGACTTTCGAGCCAGTAGTATATTCCTCTCGGATTTGCATACTGACATTTAATTTAAATTTCAAAATGTAAAATTGACGATTTAAAAGTGCTTGTAAATGTCTATTTGAATAGAGTGATTGTTATCATAATAGAGTTTGTCATTATAGATTCATACAAACAATTTAGATATAATCCCAAAGAAACATAATATATTACCAATAAAAAGAATAAAAAAAAACAAAAAAAGTGTACCTTGCTGACTAGCATATCAGTCTCGTCAAAATGTCTGCCAAACATCTTGGGGGACTCCCCGGGGATGGGCTCTATCTTGATGCACACCTCCTGCCCCTTGCGAGCAGTTTCCACTTGCTTGTGGTTCACTTCTATCGATGTCACTATACCAAGTTCTACGAACTGTTAGAGAAGGACAGAGAGTTTTTTTTAGTTATTTATTAGTTGTTTTGTTATTAAAAAAAGCAAAGACAAATGGCTAAACTAGTTACATTTAAGACTTAGAATAAGACTGCACCAAATTATATAATTCTTTTTTTGTGTTTGTTATTGTCAGGGAGTTTTATGTAGAAGAAAATGAAAAGACTTTTTTTTTAACTAATATATGATTTTTTTTAAATCTCATGATATGAAAAGTGAGTGAGTGAAATAGCTTTTATCCCGGAAATTATCCCTTATGGGGGTGAGAATGGGGATGAAAGTATGGAAACAAGCTAGGGACGAACCCGAACGAAGCTAGGGCGAGTCGCTAGTTTTATATAAAATACTATTAGTATACATAGTCGAATTGTAGTAGTCAATTTAGTATACATCTACTAAACGTAGATGTATTTTTAGTACCAACTATTATTTTAACATATATGTACATAGATCAAACAATACTCCAAGTGCAAATGCAACTTTTCGACAACCCTTTTTCTACTTTCGCCAGTAATGAAACTTATATCATAAGTAAAACACAATGTAAGAAAGAAGTCTATTTAAAAAGAAACCAACTCGCAAAATCATAACGACCCAGAGATATAGTAGTTGCTATACCTTTTAATTAGGCCTTTTAAAAAAAAACAAAAATACTACTTTTTTCCACTCAACCAGCTTGCATAGAGTTAGATTATTTGGTTAGGGAGTCTTTATAAGAAATTTAGATACTATATATGTAATGTCTTCTAATGATATGATCTAAGTTTTCATTACTGGTGAAAGAAAAAAAATATGCCAGCGTTCTATACAAATTTGTTGTATTGTTTGTTGCATAATTTGATCACTGATAATAAATTACGGACAAGTGCGAGTCGGACTCGCCCACCGAGGGTTCTGTACAAATTTGCAGGAAATCTGTTTAACTTTAATTTTCAACTTATTTATTTTTTGGATTTTTTCCTTCATTAGTATTGCCTTTTGTCAAATTTCGTGATTCTAGGACAACAGGAACTACCATAAAGGTTTTCGACCCATAACCTATAGGGTACTTCCGGTTGACCTAGAATGTCAATTTTGGTTAAAAGCAAGGTCTTAAAGCACAAGTAAAGGGAAAATTCCGAAAAATAAAAAAAAGTTGAAAATAACGGTAAATTTTCATACTTACAAATGTTCGCGAAAATCTAAATTTGCCCATATCTTTTTATCATGATGACTCAGGACCTTGATTTTTATACACCTAATAGGGATTATAGACCTCAATATCTGGTATAAATTTCAACTTGCTAGGTCCACCCGTTCCCGAGATAATCCGTGGTGACACACGGACAGACAGACACGGAGAAGAGAGTGATCCTATAAGGGTTCCTTTTTTACCTTTTGAGGTACGGAACCCTAAAAATAGTAATACGTATTTTTTTTTATTTTTTTTTTTTATATTTTTTATATTCGGCTTTTCCTGGGCAAACTCGCTAGATCATAGACCTTATTTTTATTATTATATATTTGCCTTCAAGCTGAAGGTCACGAGTGAGTAGATAATAATCTATAACTATTGTATATTATCATGTAACTAACCTCTTGACTGGGCACGCAAATAGGAGTTCCTTCCTTCAAGACGCCGGCTTCCACCATCACACCCGCCACTATGGGATCTCGCGAGTTGAACACAAATTGCGGTAACACCTACAACAAAAGGAATTTTTCAAAACACATAAAGATATAAGTTACTTGATTGTTGTCATCATTTGTTTACACAATTTACGGAATATGTGGGATCGTAGTTGAATATGGGACTCGCCGGCTAGTAAAGCCAATACTACCCACTAAAACTCAACGGGACCCCGTGTTAATGGGGCATGGCAGGACCACCTACACACTCGACCACGACTACCCGACAGAACAGTACATTACCTTTAATCAACTCTCTTTTTAATGGATTCGAAGCGAGTCAGTTGAGTATAGATTACTTCGTCAATGTTACGTAGAATACTTTAACTTCAAAATCGTTAGGTATGAAAATTGGTATTTTTGACAACCCTAACATTCGAAATTTCCTTAAAAATCAAAATGAACGACCGCCCACTGTATGAACTTTTAAACTGTGTTTATATCTATACAGATAAATAAAATTGAATTATCTGTTTGTTGTTATGTCAAAATAATAGTTTTTTACCAAATTTATTTGAAATAATATTTGGCACTATTAAAAAAAACACAATTTATAAAATTTTTGTCTGTCTGTTTGTTCTGGCTAATCTGCAAAACGTCTCGACTGATTTTGACGGGATTTTCACTGGCAGATAGCTGAAGCTAGAAGGAGTAACTTAAAACTTTAGAAAAAGAATAAGGGTTCCCCGCTCAAAAAATAACAAAACATTCTCAGGGACGCACCCGAGCGAAACAAGGGTAGGTCGCTAGAGTCGTAGATAGTAAGACTAGCGACACACCCTCGCGTCGCTCGGGTTCGTCCCTAGGTACGTTTTATTTTTTTTGAGCGGAACCCTAATTCTTTTTCTAAAATAAAAGTAGCCTATGTTACTCCCTATAATATTAGCTATCTTCCAGTGAAATTACTCCAGCTGTTTCAGAGATTATCCAGAACAAACAGACGGACAGACAGACAGACAAAAATGTGTTTTTCTGATAAATACCGTATATAATTTCATATGCATTTGGTAAAACGCTGTTATTTTGACATTACAAACAGACACTTCAATTTTGTTTATCCGTTAGATGTATAGTTAAGCTACCTTCAGCTTGCAAGGGAACACGGCGATGTGCTTGAACTCCTCGCGCTTGCGCTGCTTGAGCTCCTCGCGGTAGGCGGTGAACTTGTCGAACAGGTGGTAGATGATGTCCGCGGCGAATATCTTCACGCCGAGGTTGTCCGCCATTTCTTGGGCGTCGCGTTCGATCTGCACACACAAACACACATATACATATTACATATATTCTAATATTATAAAGAGGAAAAAATTATTTGTTTGTTTGTTTGTATCGAATTGATTCCGAAACTACTGAACCGATTTAAATGAAATTTGGTAAGAAGACAGTTTGAAACATTTTCAAACTATCTAAATGTTCAATAATTCAATGTATGTTCAATATTACTATACTACTTTTACAAAGTCTCATTACAATTTGTTGAGTCATTTTCGAGTAGTACACGATCGAGCATACAAAAATCTAAATTTTTCGTCTATTACAAATATCGATCATCGTTTCAACATAAATAAATAAAGGCAACACTTTTTTAATTAATAATAAGTGTAGAATGAAAACTGTAATCTCATATTAATGAAGAAAAGTTTTTCATATTACCTTGACATCGAAAGCCAAAATGGTGGCGTACTGCGAGTCGTGCTCCAACATGGCAGACGCTTTCATGACGTCACGCTTTACCACAGGCCCTATTCTGATGGCGGAATACTATAACAAAGGAATTCATATTAATAAATACTTAAAAAATTAAATTTTTAAAATATTTATACTATATATATGACACCATCACTTGGATGCTTCTTTAGGTCACAAGTCATATAGTATAAATACGTTATATGTTTTACTCTAGGTCTAGGTCTATACTAAAGCAGATCCGGAGGTCCCGGGTTCGAGCCCCGGGTCGGGCCAACATCAGTTATTAGTTTTTCTGTCAAGAAATTCGGTGGCGGTTTTGATCCTGCGCCGCCACACTCACCGCGAGTGTCGAAGTACCGTCCCATCGGACTTTGAGAAAAAGATTATGTCTGCGTGTATACAGACATATATAATATCATTATTTTTACATCCAAAACCGTCCAGCCATTTCAGTGTGAACAAGTAACAAACATACACACATACACAAACATACAAATTTTCACAATAATTTTCTGAGAAAATCAAAAACCTAAAATCTATTCTTGTATTAAAAAAAATTATACACGAAACAATAAAAAACAATATTTAACACAAAAAAGAAGATAAAAAAAATATTTCATATAAAACAAGCAAACACAACAAAGCACTTACTGGAATCTTACTAGTCCTGAGGAACTCCAGCAAAGCTTCGAGTGACCCTAACGTAGAGGCCTGCACGTACACGCCACGCTCCGACAACTTTATGGACGACAGGGCCGACTTTAGCTCCCTTGCTACTTCCTCTCTGAAAATAACATTTATATATTAATTTTATATATAAAATTCTAGTGTCACAGTGTCAGTGTTTGTAACAAAACTCCTCGGAGACGGCTTGACCGATTCTTATAAAATGTTGTGTGTATATTCAGTAGGTCTGAGAATAGGACGTAAACTATTTTTCATACCCCAAAGTGATTAGGGTGGTCCACCCCAAAAAAATTTCTTTTTGGCCAAAATTTTTTATTTTAATTTTTTTATGATTCGGCATTATAAATACATAGAAACCTAACTTTTCACTAGGGAGTGAGTTTGAGTCGCTAGTATTTATATAATACTAGCGACTTAAAGCTCACTTCACTTTGGGTTTGTTCCTAGGCAAAAACAAATCCCACGGGAATCGTCCGGGATAAAAAGTAACCTATGTGCTATTCCAGACTTATTGGGTTCTTTCTTTTTCTTTTTGATAATCATGTGTATTCATTAACTCATGAAAATATCAGAGGTGCGAGACCCGGAATTCATCATTTCGGGATCATTCGGATACCAAAGCAAGTGCGTTTTGATTATTAATATATTAAACTAAACATTAAAATTAATTTTAATAAAAGCTATACTCACTTAAGGACATCCACTTCATCTGGTTTTTGAGCCACTAGCAGGTTAAGTCCAGCGATTGCCTTCTCCAACTCCTTGGCCGCAATCTTCACTCCTTGGGCTCCAACCACTTCTTTATGTTCAATATAAGCGTTCTGAAGAAACAAAACGGTAATCGAATAGTAAAAGTATATATTTTTACAGTCCCACATTGGGCGCCAACTATTAAAAACAGAACACAACTTTATAATAAAATCACCTTTCTAATGATAAATGTTCGTTATTTATTTATGCTTTTTTTTAAGACATAAGACGTGTTATTTTTAATTTCAGAGACATTAATTTAACTAAAACAAACAAAATGGGTATTATATTACTATTCTATGATTTAACTTTAAGCATACAAATGAATTAAAAAATTAAAAACAATTTGAAATTGTGCGCTTTTTTCAAATCTCTTTTGTTCATTTGCTTTTTGGATGACAAAATTGAAACGGACTTCATTTTGTTTAAAAATGTACTTATGTGGTCTGCGTAATTTCGAATTTGTGTTTAAGCGATCAAACTCAATTTATGCATTTTATTCTTTGGTTTGCGTTGGTTTGCTTTATGTACTTAACGTCTCATGTTGAAGAACGCCAAGTTGTGAATAACACCACTTGTTGAAGAGATATTTCTTAGGAAATATATACAGTATAGTTACATATCAATAGTAATATATACATTTAAAAAAATAACAATCCTACCTTAACCCTAAGCTCCTTCATTGGCTGCGGCATGAGCAAAGACCGGATCTGAGTGACGATGGGCCCGTCGGTGCCGGCCAGCACCATCGTGTCGCCCTCGTGCAGCGTGCCGTTTATGAGGATCGTGTCGATCGTTGTGCCCAGACCAGGGATGGCTTTTACCTGGTTAAACGAATTTAGGGTGTAAAAAACGTGTGTGTACTCATGTACGCACGTAAGAAGTTAATACTTCTTTGGCGTAACAGAACAAAAATAACTAAAGATTTCATCCCGTATGTCACAACTCTCTGTTTGTAAAGGAATGCAGCTAGGTTTATCATGTCGCTTTTTGAATGTAAGTGTACGCGCGCATCGTAAAAATTTTAATCTCGTCATTTCTTCCAAACATGCCAAAAGAAGTATAACTTCAAAAATAAAACAATATGTTTAAAAAATTATGTAGTTAATAACATTGCTCCGTTTTGGACAAAAGGATGGGGATGTAATATAACATCAAACGTTGTGCCTATTTTTCTTATAATTTTATATTAATCTCTCAACGACAGCGGACACGCCGGCGTTACAGTTAACAATAGATTTCTTAGAAATTTACCTGGAGGTGATAAAACCTAATTGTGATATTACCCTCAATATAATAACAATCATTTCAAGTTCTAAATTACTATCAAAGCCTTAATTTTGAAAGGATAATAAATATTAATCAAAAAATAATTATAGTGATCTGGATCCATATAATACTACCTACAAGAACGTTGGTACACTACCGTTTGTCCCAATAACAACATAAATTGGTGAGGCGATCTAGGTTTGTACTACACACTTACAATTCTATAAGATTTAAGTTAAACATGCACCGTAATATTATTGACCTCCAATTATCATTAAAGATGGAAGAGGGCGCTGACTCCTGACATACAGGTTTATTCTAGTTTGGGAGTCAGAGGCTTGAACAGGCTTATGTAACAACAAACAATGGTGTCAATAAAGATATATTGTCTTATAACAACAAACAATGGTGTCAATAAAGATATATCGTTTATCTATTTGAGTACCAGATACATAAAAGCTGCGAGGATCCAACATCCTCACTTACAATCCTAAGAGATATCTCACCTCGAGAACAGTAGCGAGCAACTGTTGAGAGAATACTAGTCGCTTGTGCAGAGGCCCTTCGCAGGCCTGAACTATCATAGCCAGTAGGTTGCCCATGCCCTCGCCCGTCACCGCTGATGTGGGTACCAGGGACACATAGGTGCGAGGATCTGGATTCGAGTAGAATAGAGCTGCGTTGAGACCCTGGAAACAAATAGGTTAGGTTAGGTTTGGTTAGGTGTATATTTGGATGATAATATCTTTACTATATTGTAGTTAATGTTATGATATAAATTCAGAAATATAAAATTGTAATTCTACCTGTCTTAATTTAATTAATATTTTTAAATAATAAAAATAAATGTGTTACTAAAAATTAATCTATACATATAATATAATCGTAACTAAGCCGAATCTGTACATTAAATATTTTTTTGGAAAATCTTATTGAAATAAACATTATTATCGATACAGAGACCAAATCTATAGTTTTTATAATTTTTATCTGTCTGTCTGTCTGTTATCGCTAACAGAAAAACCACTGGAGGAATTTTGATGAAATTTGGTGTGGTGATAGCTGGTTATCCGGGTACTTTTTACCGCGGGAAAATATCTCATTTCTGAGAAAAAATACAAAAACTGTAATGTAAGAGTATACTAATTTGTAAAACTTAAGAATTTGGTTTTTGGTCATCTGAACGAGGGCGGAACCGCGGGCAATGCTACTATGTTATAATTGTTTTTATATTTCTTTATCGTGTAGTGTGTATTAGTTCATGTATGTATGTACATGTGCATGGTATATATTGCAAGGCATGCATATATGGGCGCGCGATTATTCTGCCATCTAGTGTAAAATATTATTAATATTCTGTGATTTTAAAACAATATCTAAAGAGGACAATAAAATCTGATTTACAGTTTATACTTAATTTTAGGATTCATTTTGATAGATTTTTATAACATGAATGTTTTATGTAAAATGGATATAAGTTAATCTCAATATGTGTTGTAAAGTTTTTAGTTTATGATTTCCACCAAAACTTATGAAGATTAGTAATTAATTAACTTAAGAAGGTTAGATATTTATATACTTAGGTTAGATATTTGTTGTTAACATGAATTGCTATTTTATATAATTTAAACGTGAATAATATTTGTAAAAAGTGATAAAACGATCTTGCTATTGGAGTTCGAACTAGGTATCAAAGTAAAGTTACTAAATAAGTTATGTATAATATCATTCTCTTTTCGATTGTGGAACAGAAAGGATATTTAATCAGATCTATGTCAGAAATCTGAAAGAATTTTAGGCCATGCCCGACAATACAATGTTATTTTTAACTCCCGACGCAAAGAGGGGTGCTCTCAAACTGATGGACCGATTTCGATGCGGTTTTTTGCATTTTAAAGCCAGTTTTCTTGCGAAGGTTCTTAGCTATGTTTGGTTAATATTGGTGTAAGAGTATCGGCTCTTTTTCAAAATGATGTAAGGCATTTTGGCGTATGATTACTCTATTAATTAATTACAATAAATGCCTGCCTTACAATATGTACATGATTTTTTCTTTCTAAGTTGGTGAAAAACAGAAAATAGTGACTCACTTGTTCAGCGAATTGGATGATGACCTCATTGCTCCTCTTTTCAAATTCCAATTGAGTATTAGGTTGTTGCATCTTCAATATGTCTCGCACATCTTTCCTTTGCGCACTTTGCCAGTCGTACAGGCGATCTATTTTATTTAACGCCACTAAAAATGGTGTTTTCTTTTGTTTCAGCAAGTTTATTGATTCTATTGTTTGGGGTTCGAGCCCGTGCATAATGTCTACTACCTACGATCAAGTAAAATACAATAAAATATATTTGCACAATAAAATTAACAAGTTTTAATGTAGCCAGCATGAATAATATATGGACAAACTTTATATGGTCTATCTACCTTAATATAAAAATATAGTGTTTTAACACATTAAGTGCATTAAACAATGATACAGCAATGTGTTATATAATATTTATTTTACGTTAAAAATATATTATTATAAATACTTACAAGAATGGCAATATCGCAGAGAGAAGAACCTCTATTTCTCAAATTACTAAAAGATTCGTGGCCGGGTGTGTCGATAATAAGCAAACCTGGCAACTTAAATGCTATTTCATTCACCTGAAAAAGAATTAATATATTTAATAAAACATTACACGTAACAATTTTCTTACTTTATATTTTAATGCAAATTGTTACTCTAAAGTGTTATTGAGAAGAAAAAACTTTTTTAAACAAGAATTTAAATATATTTTTTATACACTGCAAATACTCAAACAATAGCAATCCTTACTATCTACCTACCCAAGCACTTCAACAGAACATTCTAGCACTTACCCCTTTGACATGTTTAGTTTGCTCCTTAATATTTTCAATAGGTACATTGGTAGCTCCAATCTGCTGTGTGATACCTCCAGCCTCGCCATCTTGAACATTGGTTCGTCTCAATTTATCCAAGATCTTCGTCTTGCCGGTATCTACGTGTCCCAGGACACAGACGACCGCCGCTCGGAGTGGATTGTTTGTTTTGTTCTTTTCGTTATCTTCACGACGTTTCTATTGTGGTATGAAAGAAGTAAATATCAGACTACTATGATAAATGCAAAAGTTTATATGTGTGTATGTTTGTTACACAGATTGACTGTGACCTCAAATAACTCATAGTCAGGCAACCAAGCGTCGCGCCCTCACTCGCTAAGTAGTTAGTTACTGATGTTTTTAAAAATGAATATAAATGTGATTTTTGTTCTAGTGGGGCACCTACTTATCGCCAACAGACGTATATTCATACAAAAATGTATTGCAATTTTATACTCATTTGGAGGTTTACATTTTAATCTAAGATATTAAGGTTTTATTATATCTTGCAGAGCAAAAATTCAAAATGGTAAATGAAAATCCATAGTATACCTAATATTAAACGGTAATAATATTGATACACGTATTTAATAAATATTAAATAATATATCAGTACTTGTATATTTGATTCAACATACCTCCAATCTCTTCAAAACTAGTTCACGTTTCTTCTGTGCATCTGTCATTTGTTCTTCATCAGAATCTTCTTCAGAACTTGATTCTTCTTCGGAACTATCATCTTCTTCCTCAGAGCTTTCTTCATCATCTTCCTTCTATAAAAAGCATTATATTCATACATACATTAGTTAATTACAAATGAAGCTAATAAAACAGTCTAACAAAAATGTAATAATCAATATGCTACCTCTTTGGATTTTTCTTCAGTTTTCTTCGAGTCTTTAGTAGGTGGGGCAGGTTCAGATTTAACATCTTTAGGTGGTTCGATCTCTTCATCAGATGACTCAGCATCCCAAGCATCTTTCACTGATTCATTATCTGATTCTTTCTTTTCTTCTTCTTTTTGTAGAATCTCCTAAACAATATTAATGTAATCTTTAAATAAGATGACTGTGATAATTAGTTGTTGGCATGTCAGCTTGGAACAGAGCTATGGGTGAATTCATAAGTATAGTTTATGGGCCATAAGAATGGGTAAAAAATTATACCAGGTAAAAAGGTATTGTAAGGGACAAGTTTTATCTCTATACAGTACATAAAGTTAGAAATTTGGTATCGTGGACTTTTTTGTAGAATTAGAATAACTGACATACATCATTTTTACTTTTACATTTTAATAAAAATTTAAAACACCATAACAGTAACGCCAAAATCTCATATATGTCTATTTTATCGACTTGTTGTACCAAAACCGTCACAGCCGGTAAAACACGTAATAAAAATGTAAGTTACTTTGAAATTATGCTACAATCTGAAATAAGCTTGTCATTTCTATATCCACATCTCTTTAAGTATTATGTTTCACTGATGAAACAATTTTTAAAATCGGTTCATAAGTTTTACAGTTTATTTATTACAAACAAACAAATAATACCTTTATAATATTAGAACAAATTTAATTATGCATTTTCTTCTTACCTTTTTATCTGTTATTTCTAATTCAATCTTTTTTTCCTCAGCTGGAGTTGTCGGCGCTTCTTGTGACATTTGCGTTTTTAATTTTGTTGGCTTAATCCTAGTACCAGGACGCGGTGGTTTTTTCTCAGATCCGATTTCAATACCTTGAGCCTTTAAAGACTCAAGCATAGCTTGAGCCCTGGCTTTTTCCGCCTTTTGTTTTGGAGTTAACAGTTTACCTTCAGCTTTAAGTCTTTCTTTTCTCTCTTTTTCCTTTTGTTTCTTTCTATCTTTGCGTTCCTTTTCTAATCTAATTGCTTCTAATCTCTGACGTTCTCGCTCCTCTTCTTGCTTTATCCTTTCTTCTTCCTCCCGTTTGAGACGTTCCTCCTCTTCTTTAACTTTTTTCAAAGCTTCTTGCATTGCTGCTAATGTTTTTTTAGTTGGACCCTTCTTTCCTTTATCATCTTTGTCACCCTTTTCACCTTTTTTCTTTTTTTTGCCTTCTGGTGCAGGAGTATCACCCTCACCTTCTTTATCTTTTTCTTCTGATGGAGCCTTTGATTCATCTTTTTCTTCTTCAACAGATTTTTCAGTCTTTTTCTCAGCCTGCTTTGCTGGTGTTTTAGGTTCACCTGTATCCTTTTTATTTTCTTGCTCTTTCTTCTTAGCTTCTAATTTTTTTTGCTTCTCTCTTTCCTTCTTTTCTTTTTTCTTCTGAGCGGCCGTTTTAATAGTTATATCGTTTTCGTTGTCACTACCTTTATCTTCATCTTCAATTTCAACTTGGTCAGGAAGAGACTCTTCTTTTTTGCCTTTTTTCTTTGTTTTAGTTTTCTCTTCAACAACTTCTGTAGGTTTTTCGTGTTCTTGTTCAGGAGGTGGAACAGATTCTTTTTTAACACCTGAATATTCCATTTCTAGTTCAGCAAGAACTTTTTCTAAATCTTCATCACTATCATCTTTCCTTCTCTTTGCTTTTTTTCCTTTTTTGCCAGCAGGTTCCTTTTTTTCTTGTGGTGCTTTTTTCTGTGGTTTTTGGACAGGTTTTTCATCGTCAGAAGATGGAGGCGCTTCCGGTGCAGATCCTCCTGAATCTTCAACTTCTAAAAGAGAAAATGCACTCTTTTCCTCCTTCTTTTTACCTTTTTTAGGTTTTTCTTTAGGTGCTTCATCAGACTCATCTAAAACATAACTTTATTTATTTAATTACTACGATTTTTGTATAATACAGAATAGAATATTTGTAGCATTGCCACATATTTATTTTTATCTACGCTTGTGGCGCAATATTTCCATCTTAGTTTAAAAGACGCTTATATATTAAAAAATATATATTTTTTTAATGCTCTAAAGTCTAAACTATCAAATTTTGTGAGATATTTGAAGGTAAAAATAGTCATATGGAAACAATGACAACAAAATAATGACATAATTACTAATTACTTGTTAATATTTGTTGTATTAAAATAAAAATTCTTATAGTTCTGATATAATCAATCTTTACCACAAAATATCTAAATGTTGAATCAATATATGAATAATGGATATCATATTTTACAGAATTCTATATCTTCCAGGTTTAATATGCATTGAAATTCTCATGGTGGCATAGGTTAAAACATAGACAAATGAAGAAAAAATTGAACAGGTACTCCATTATACTTATTTTTGAGTAGCTTTTCTAGGCATCAATAATATCATCAGCTTTAATATATTAGAGGAAACAATTATACACATAATTGGATGCAGGTAAGCATTTTTTTCTACTTATATTTGATTAGCTTTTCTAGAGATCAACAATATCTTCAACTGTATATTACTAGGAGAGATCAGGGCTCAGAACCAGTTGATAAAATCGGTTTATTTTTGTAATGTAACTAGCGGCTCACCCTCGCTTCGCTCGGGTTCGTCGCTAGGTACGTTTTAAATAGATATAAAAAGAAAAAATCTTTCTTTCTCACATTTTAATTATATGTTTTAATACTTACCTATTCCGGACTAAGAGAAATCCAAAAATTAAAATATCATAAAAATTGGAACGCGGTCGAACGGGATAAAAAGTATCCTATGTCCTTCTCCTGGCTCTAAACTACCTCCCTGCCAATTTTCAGCTAAATCGGTTCAGCCGTTCTTGAGTTATAAGCGAAGTAACTAACACGACTTTCTTTTATATATATAGATTGATAATGTAAATAATTAACCTGTTAGGGAAAACGAGCGGTTTAGTGAGCTGAAATAATAATGGTTAACGGTTGCTCTTAGAATTAGAAATAGATTGGATTTCGGTTTTGATACAGAAATAAACTGGTGTATTCCTTTATAAGTAAGAGACGTATGTATTCTTCTATAAAAGCCATTCACCATTAGCAAAGACGCGCCAAATATAAACGCACAAACTCATTTTAACCGGTCAATTTTGGTCATGGAACCTAAATATGTCAAAAACATTCTTCTAGATTTAACCAGTTAAAGAATTTAACTGAAACCTTTAACCTAAAAGCCCTTGGTTTTGGAGAAGGAAAGGCCCAAAACCGGTTGAACAATTGAATGGGTTTTACGAGCCCTGGTAGGGATTAATAAATGGATGCAGATATTTAAAATCTAAAAAAGTATTATTAAAATATAATGTAATTGATTTATTTTAAATACATTTGGGATATTTCAGTTTTTCCTCAATTTATTTAAATAATAACTATAGTACATAGCAAGATTAAAAACCATAGACTATTAAATTGATACAATTTCTTACTGCATGGCATGAATAGAACTGGCAAAAGAATTTTAAATGAACTATAATTAATAGTAACAAATAAAAGATAAATGTATTATTTATATTTTATTTGATACTAGTAAGCTCACACTCGCTTTGCTCAGGTTTGCCCCTAAATATGTTTTAACAGTGATTATGGAATAGATAGACAAATACATAGGTATGATGAGTTGTTGTGGGTTGTATTGTATTGTATATTGGACTCGTTTTCCGCACTTAGACTCGCATTTGGTCCGTTGTACGTTGTGAGTTGTATTATGATTTATGTGTTTTCCCGTGGGATTGAGATAATCTCGCACAGTAAAAATTAGCTTATTCATTCTTCAGCCCTCTAACTATCTCAACACAACAAAATGAAAAGACAAATAAATAAACACACTTTCACATTTATAATATTAAGTATGGATTATTGCATAAGTTAATGTAACCCAATCACTGTATAAGTTTTATGTAATAATTGTAACATCCGTCTTATAAATTTCCTTATTCATAATTTTCTTATTAATAACTAGCGACTCAACCTCACTTTGCTCGTTTTCATATTTTGAGGGGAACCCTAATTCTTTTGCTAAAATAAAAGTAGCCTATGTTACTCCCTATAACATCAGCTATCTTCCAGTGAAAGTCCCGTCAAAATCAGTCCAGCCGTTTCAGAGATTATCCAGAACAAACAGACAAGACAGAGACAAAAATTTAAAAACTGTGTTTTTCTCATAAGTATCATATATAATTTCATATGCATTTAGTACAACTCTGTTATTTTAACATTACAAACAGATACTTCAATTTTATTTATCTGTATAGATTATCTAATGCAAAAAGAATTTTTCAAATCGGATTAATAGTTCCTGACATTACACATTCAAATAAATAATCAAACTCTTATCACTTTATAATATTAGTATAGATAGATTTATCAGAAAATAAAGTAATACAATTTCCTAATTTTTCCACACAAAAAAAAAGTATTAAAAATAATGATAATTATGTATCTATACCTTCACTGCTTATATCTCCCTTTTTCTTTTGAGACTTATTTGAAATTGTTACATTTTTTAAATTTTTTGAGACTTCCTTTACATCTGAATCAACTGACTTCTTCTGCTTAGGTTTGGCTTTCGGTTTCTCATCCTCACTTTCATCAGATTCTATAATTTTTCTGGAAAATATAGTTTTGATTATTTGTGGTAGTTATAATGTGAAAATATATTTATAGAATATTCCAATACTGTTAAGATACTTGAAGAACTCTTAAGAAGAGCTGAAACGCAAAGAAAGTTAACACAAAATGACTGAGATAACCTATAATACACTCACTTCTTTCCTTTATTTTGGACAGGTTTCGAGTTTTCAATGGTGGTAGTTTCCACATCGCTGTCACTAAAAATATACCCATTTAATTATTCTATGATCTAAACAAATATAAAACAATTCTAGCATATGTTAAGAAATAAAATTACCCATCGTCGGCTGTCTGACTCTTCTTCCCCTTTTTCGCCTTACCCATGGTTTATTATTGATATATTAAGTCACGATGCCTTCAGTGAGATGTTTTTTTCCGTAATATTTTGTGAATTCTATCATGTGAAACGTAATCAATGCACAAATTGAGCTAAGCCGAAATAAATCTCCAGTCGTCGTGTCCGTCCTTTACTCACGTCAGGCACGTCAATGAAAAAGTAAAAAAAAATAGATTGAAAATGGGAAAGTATTGGGCCCTCTTTCTCCCGCCAGATGTCGCGACCACTATAGCCAGTATATTGTAAAGCTCTATAGCGTGGATGGATTTTTTTCATTTCATGTAAAATTTAATTTAAAATGACAAATTGTGAAGTGCTAGGATGCAAAGAAAATTGATGTTATTTGTTCCCAAAAGTAAAAACTGAAAAAAATGTGGGCTAAAGGCTAAATTAGTTTAAAGCTATGTCTCTAAAGCTAGGTGAATTTTCTTTTTATTTTTTGTACTTTATTACATCTTAATTACAAAGTTTCGTACATCATTTTATCCTATTATGGGATTGAATTTCAAAAAATGCTAAAACACATATTTATTTAATTGTATTGAAGATCATTCATTATCAAGTTTCAAGTAATTGTGATCATAAATAATTCTTTGACCATATGTTTTTTTTTAATTTCCACTTTATTATTCACTTTTACCCCTTTAAGGGATGAATTTCAAAAAAAATCAAACAAATATATTTCTTATTTTTATATTTAAGCTAAATACCACATTCTGTGTATTTCGGAGATGAATTTTTAAAAATACTTTCTTATCGGATGCCTACATCATATAAGAAATGCAAATTTCACATTTCTACAACCAGTGGTTTATGCTGTGTTGATCCAACAGCGTCAGTCAGTCAGGACCACCACAGAATGCACATCTCCTTCTAAATTATTTCTTTAGCGGGTCAAACTTCCAGGTACAATACATTGCACAAGTAAGATGCGAACACAATAGAAGCAAAAAACCAGGTATAAAAGAGATATCTTAACAAATTGCTGAACTTCATTTAAATAGGCCATATGTGTGGCGCTTTCCTTTCGAGAAATCTTTCAAACTAAAACAACTTAATAATGACAATAGTAAAAAAAAATATACTTCAATTTATATTGCTACCATTTTCACCATATTGTAATCATGGATGACAAATAAAATTGTAATTATAGCATTTATGCTTGTTCTGTAAAAAAATATCAGTTCCAAATTGTTGAAACTTTTTTAAAGTGTTGTGTTGTATGTTAATTGTTAAGTGTTCAAGAGGAGTAGTAAATTAAACAAGGGTATATAATTTTACGGATTCAAATAATAATAAATATTTTTAAAATATGAAATAGAAAATAAATTATTAATGACATTTGTATTATGCATATTTCGAGTGAACGTGTATTTTAGGTCTGGTAATACTTTTAAGTTTTGACTTTTGAATTTTGAAATTGAATATTTTTTTATGCAATGTGACAGAACAATATTGAAATTTTTTAAATCAATAGTTTTATTGTTTTCACAAAATGTACAAAGGTTTTTCCCGAATATGGACAGTTTATTGCTTAGATAGGTTACAACCATGCATTTCACCTTTTGCCGCTAGTGTTTTAAATTCTCAACATGGAAAAGTTGGAAATCTAGGTTATGTTTTCAAGAGAACTAAGAAACATGATAAAGGAAATCCTTCAGCTCTTTTTGTTCCAATACCGGTGAAACCAAATCCTGACGATATAAATATAGGCGAGGAATTAACTGGCCGTCTAAAAAAGCAAGATTTGTTAAAAATACTAAATAAGTTCTACCAGAAACCAGAGGTTAGAGTTTTGGCATCTGAAAACGGACTCGATGATCAGCTGTTGCATCAGGCTTTTTTATCATTTCGAAGGCATTGCTTGGAACACGACTTGCCTCCGGATTTACATATAATAATTAGCGACATTCTACTAGGTAAATTCATAACAATAATTAATATAATTTTATCGTTTAGTATAAATATCGTGACTAAAATAATATTATATAATTTAATTTTTATTCAATAATATGTCAAGCACTATTTTCTCAGAAAACTTTACTTGTAATAAAGTAGTTTTTCTTCAGTACTAAGTAAATTTTTTGTTCAAAAAATGTTAATTTTTGAGGTTTGAAAAACTAATTATTATACATATATTTTCAGATGCTGGACATGTAGATGATTTATTTCCATATTTCCTTAGGCATGCTAGACTTGCCTTTCCACACCTTGATTGTTTAGATGATTTGAAGAAAATTTCTGATTTAAGAACTCCTGCTAGTTGGTAAGCATATAATAACTGCGTTCTTATCTTTTAGAGTGTGAGTTAATCAGTTTTTGATTTTTTTAACATATAAATATTTTGATATGTTTTTCTAGGTATCCTCAAGCTCGTAATTTAAGTAGAAAAATTATATTTCATGCTGGACCAACAAATTCAGGCAAGACTTATCATGCTATGGAAAAGTTCCTCACATCTAAATCTGGTGTTTATTGTGGGCCATTAAAATTATTAGCTACTGAAATATATCATAAGTCAAATAGTAAGGTGAATATCTAAATTAATAATTTTAAAAATCTTTGTAACTATTACGAAATGTATTGTAAATTTTCCCATATATTATATTATTATAACCTATACTAATAATATAAAGAGGAAAGATTTATTTTTTTGATTGTTTGATCCAAATGGGCTTCGAAAGTACTGAACCAATTTACATGAAATTTATTAAGAAGATAGTTTGAGACCATGGAAAGGACATAGGATAGTTTTTATCATGAAAATCATCCCATAAGAGGTGAAAATGGGGATGAAAGTTTGTATGGGGAAGCAAACTAGGGATGAACCCTAGGGTTCAGAATGAGAATCCAATTTTTGTACAATTTTTTTTAATACTATTGAGATCTATTTGGGAAATACATTACAGTCCTTGTAAGATACTTGTCTACTAATACTACATGTCATGGCATGATAGTTTTATAAACCCGTTTTCCTGCAGCTCTGCTCGTATAGTACATTAATCACCAACATATCATGTACTAAAACTATCTCCGAAACACACTGTATCTTATGGTATGAGTAATATTCCGATCGGTTCAGTAGTTATCGCAGTATAACCGAACAAAAAAAACGGCTCTCCATTTATTAGTATAGATGTACATTTTGTCTACTTTATTATTAATGTTGCTTTAGTCAATCCTATGGTAATAGGATAAATGGGAGGAATAAATAGCTGCCATGTAAATTATTCAATTCAATTTTCTTGTAAATGGTTGCAAAGCATGCCAGTGGAGCACAGATTACTTCTCTAATGCCACATTGTATTCAGCCCTTTTTAACGTCTCACTGCTGGGCATGGGCCTCCCTTCAATACGAGCGGGTTAAGGTCATAGTCAACCACACTGGCCAAGTTAAGTTCTCTCAGACATGCCAGTTTCCTCACGACGTTTTCCTATAACGTAAGGCAAGTGGTAATCATGTTGGAAATGATTAGCACATAAAAATATCGGAGGTGCGAGACCCGGGATTTGAACCCGCTTCACTCGGTTTCCCAAACGAGCGAGCTATCACTTGGCTACCGCTGCCTGCCTCACTGGCTACTAATGCCACATAGAACATGTAAATTATTGCAGGAGTAACTAACAAAGACTAAGGTTTGTTACCTTACAATATAGAAAAAAAAAACATTTTACAATAGGGATATGTTTTAGGGTACTCCATGTGATTTAATAACAGGTGAAGAAAGAAGACATGCATCTCAGCACAATACATTGGTTGATAATGGAGAAAGCGAGGAGTCTTCAGAAGGTGAATCGTTCCTACTTGACGAGCCTGAATTAACTCCATCAAAACATGTTGCTTGTACAGTTGAAATGACGTCTTTGAATGATAGGTGTGAGTATTTACATATGTAATGATTTTTTTTTGTAATTTAATAACTTTTAATTAATACTTCAGTTTAAATTATCTGTTAGTTTTAATTACAAGATAATATAAGTAAGTAAATTTGTTCTTATCTTTCTAAAACAAATGGATTAATACAATTAAGACATCTTACTTTAAATTATTATTACTAGATTATATTATTAACATATGTATGTATTTAAAAATATATTTTATTCCAGATGAAGTAGCAATTATTGATGAAATCCAGATGATTGGTGACAGAGGAAGAGGCTGGGCATGGACCAGAGCTGTATTAGGTAAAATCATTACTGATAATATAATATATAAGAAAATTTGTTTGCTGGCTTTATTGTTTTACACAGTAACAGTTCAATATGATTATATATGTAAAACTAGTTTAATTCTTGAGACCTTCTGGCACATGAAGTTTACTCATGGGATGCATGATATGTATAAAAGTCTGAATGTTTAGAATAAACAAATAGAAATTTTCATATTTTCAATCCTTTAGAGGTCGAATTTCAGAAAATCGTTTCTTAGTGATTATTATCTATGTAGGTCTTTATAGGAATAGGCTGTCAAAGTATCACGCCTTTCCGGTCCAGCTGTATAGTATAAGTATTAATGATAAGTAGTCAGGTTATGTATATAGATAATTTGTTTGAAGGTTTGCAGGCAGATGAAATACATTTATGCGGGGAAGCCGGTGCTATAGAACTTGTAGAAGAAATTTGCAACACTACTGGAGAGGAAATGGAGGTTAGTATTAGATGGAATAAAATGTGTACAATTATAAAACAAAAATTATATTAAAGCAGGAAAACAGTTGGTTTTTCAGACTTTTGTATATAGGTCTAATACATCCTAATCTAATCTGGTCTAATAATTTTATTATAAATGTACATTTGAATTTACAAAAAAATATTTTTTACAGGTGCGTTCATACAAAAGATTAACAGAACTAAAAGTGGAAGATTCAGCCTTGGGTTCGTTAGACACTGTGCGAGCAGGCGACTGTATAGTGTGTTTCAATAAAAATGACATTTACAGTGTGAGTCGAGCGATCGAACAGAGGTCAGTCCCTTGAGGCAGGTATCCAATAGATTTAGATGCCTAATTTCTTATTTTATAACATAATAATAAAAAATAACAAAAGTCTATTTCGTGGGACACCAGCTGGAACGAAGTTCCTTTCACTGTCTTCCTCCTGGCTTATTTATGAATGAAGTCATAAAAATTGTCATGAGTACTAGGGTATCATAAACATCAAGTGTATGTTGTAAATGTTGAAGCTCATCTAAGAAAGGTCTGCACAGAGTGCACACGAATTTCTTACAACATACATACATACATTTTGACGACATGTTTGGCCCAGTTTGTAGTGACCCGACTAGCTGTGCCAGCAGTTGCGAGTTTGAGTCCCGCTAGGGGCATTCATTTGTGTGATGAGCATGAAAGTTCGTACTCTAGTCGTGGGTGTTTAATATGTATGTATTTAAAGTTATATATTTGTAATGTATCAACTAGCTGGTATCCATAACACAAGCCTCGTAGCTTACAATGGAACTAGATGGTGCTGTGTGTTAATGTCCCAACATATTTATTATTACATTTCTTACCACCCACGTTCGCGCCTGCTTCTTATGATGACGTCACATAGTGTGCTCTTATTAATAAAAAGTGTCGTGACGGTTGAAATGTTACACTTTTTTTCCGTCTAGTTCTTATTCGCCAAGTGTGCTGACTATAACGTGCGATAAGGAACTTTGTTGCAAAAATTATATAATGGTTTCTCCTTATAAAAAAAGTTTTTTTTGGAAAAATTAACACTTTTTATTTGTATATAATATCACTACTTTCAGGGGTCACGAAGTAGCTGTAATATATGGAAGTCTCCCGCCGGGAACGAAGTTGGCACAAGCAAATAAGTTTAATGATCCAGAAACTTCTTGCAAAATAATGGTCGCTACTGATGCGATTGGATTAGGTATTAATTTGTAAGTAACCTGATCATATACAAGACTTCATCAGCGGCCTCACTAGCGTGATATAACTATTGGATTTGTTTTTCTATCTGACAGTGGAAATTTTGTTGAAATTGCCTCTGCTGTTCTGTGTATTATTGAAACTGCCTCGGTGGTGTAGTGGCTAGCATGTACGGCTACACACTCGGAGGTCCTGGGTTCGAGTCCCGGGTCGGGCTAAGTTTAGTTATTGGGTCTTTGTGTAATTGTCAGTAACAGCCCGGAGTTGGGAAGTTGGCGGTGTCACCCCCGTGCCTCGGAGAGCACGTAAAGCCGTCGGTCCTGACTCCTGCGCCTTAACTGGTCACTGGTCGTGTCGAGTGGTCGTCCCACCGGAGTATGAGAGTGACAGGAATAGAGAGTGCACGTAGTGTCTGCGCTCTCGCTCACACGCGCTGCACTATAATATCTCCTGCGCAGTTGGCTAGTCTCAATGAAATTGGCTGCCGTAGCCGAAATCGGCCAGGAGAACATGATCATCATCATCATTGAAGTTATACTTCTTATGGCACGTTTGGAAAAAAATATGAGGGTAAAATTTTTACGATGCGCGCGCACACCGACAGAAAAAAGGCGACATGATGAAGCTAGCTGCATTCTTCTTACAAACAGAGAGTTGTGACATAGGGGATGAAATCTTTAGCTATACTTGTTCTGTTACGCTAAAGAAGTATAATTTCTTACATGCGTACATAAGTGCACACACGTTTTTTTATTATTAGCACTTTCATACAGCTAGAAGACAATTTTGTTTTACTATAAAAAAACCAAAAGCGTTTAAGCTCATGTTGTTCATATTAAACTCATATACTTGCATGATACCTCTGCTTTTTAATATCTTCATTAATAAAATTCATTTAATATTTAAACATTCTGAAATTTTGTTATACGCTGACGACATGAAGATCTTAAGGACTGTCAATAAAAATGACGATTGTCAATTATTACAAAGTGATCTTGATAGGTTGTGCCAATTTTGTAATAGTAATGGTCTTATTCTTAATATTAAAAAATGTAATGTCATAAGTTTTTCACGTAAGACCAATATTGTCAAATACGATTACACCTTGAATAATAATTCAATTAAACGTGTTACTGAGGTGAGAGATTTGGGTGTATATCTTGATCATAAACTTACTTTTTCTAGCCATATAGACCACATTGTTGGTAAGGCACATCGCATGCTAGGCTTTATACTCAGAATAGGAAAAGATTTTCGTAATAATTCTACTTTAATTGTTCTATATAATGCTTATGTCCGCTCTATACTTGAATATGCTTCTTCCGTTTGGAATCCACAGTACAGTAAATATATAAATAGAATTGAAAACATCCAGATTAAATTTAATAAGCATTTATTATATAGATCAAAAAACAATAATCAGGAATTTCCTAATTTAGTCTCCCTATTGGATCGCCGACGCCTAAAGGATGAACTTTTTCTATTTAAAATTATCAGAAATCATGTGCATTCACCATTTCTTTTAAGTAATATTTGTTTAAGATGTCCTCGACCGCAATCACGTAATTTGTCATTATTTTATCTACCTAGAATAACAACTAATTATGCACGTAATAGCTTTATATACCGTTCTTGCAGATTGCATAATGAAATATTTAATGACATAGATTTATTTTCCCTTTCTTTAAATAAGTTCAAAATTTTAACCAGAAGTGTCTGTTCGTGATTTCCCCGTTTTTTTTTTGTTATATACTTTAATTTTTAATTTTAATAAGCTAACATATACCTACCTTAAGAATGTGTTAACGGTGAAGACTTAATTGGTGTATGTATTTTTTTTATTTCTTTTGTTTATAATATGTAACATAATACTGTTTGTCTTCCAAATAAATAAATAAATAAATAAATAAATAAATAAATAAATAAATAAATAAATACAAATATCATGCAAATATAGGAGTTCAATATGAACTTTGATTTAAAATTATAAATTGATTCTTTGATTTTATTTATGACAATAGTATCTAGATTCGATTTTGTTTATGAGAATGATTACTAGGATAGATTTTTTTTATAAAATTCAATAGTTTTAAATTTGGCTACAAAAATCCATTTATCATTATTGGTTACATATTTTATTTTATATTTTAGGAGTATAAGAAGAATTATATTCTATTCACTTATAAAGCCAATAGTGAATGAAGACGGGGATAAGGAAATGGATGTGATCAGTATATCACAGGCTTTACAAATAGCAGGTAAAACTATGAGAAAGAAATCTCTACAGTTTCAATATTCATTTGGTTTGAAATTGTTATCATTATAAATTTTAAAATAATGATAAATATCCTACTAATATTATAAACGCGTAAGTTTGTAAGAATGTGTGTATGGATGTATATTTGTTACTCTTTCACGCCAGAACGGCTGAACGGATCTGGATGAAATTTGGCACAGAGATAGATTATAGTCTGGTATAACACATAGCCTACTGTTTATCCCGGAAAAATATACGTTTCCCGAAGTGTTATATTTGTTTTTGTTTTTCTGGAGGCGAACCCGAGCGTAGCGAGGGTGAGCCACTAGTATGTTATATATATGTATAAGTAACTTTGGAGATTTACATTATTACAAAGCTAAAGAGTTTTTTTTTGAATGCGCTTATCTCTAGATCTACTAGTCAGATGTAAAAACTTCTTGGTTTTGTTTCATAGCCTATAACACTATATACTATACTATATACCTATGTATTGTAAGGAAGTAATGAAGCATAATATAGGCTATCTTACGTCTCACTACGACTTATGAGAGCAGGGGTAATTCTACAAAATTAAAATACGTGGGTAAAGGAGCAATAAAACGCTAGTAACTTTTAAATCCATACTAATATTATAAATTTGAAAGTGTGTTTGTTTGTTTGTCTTTCTTTCACGCCGAAACAGAGTGACGGATTGGCGATTTATATGTGTGGAGATAGTTGGAGGGCTGGCGAGTGACTTAGGCTACTTTTTACCCCGGGAAATTATCTAATTCCCACGGGAAAACACATTATAATACAATCCAAAAAAATATTCATGATCAGATGATCATTACTTGAAAGTCAGTATTAATGCTCTTCAATAAAATTAAATAAATATTTTAGCATTTTTCGAAATTCATCCTTAATCCCCCATAAAATTAAAATAGGGGATGAAAGTTTGTATGCAACTACCTTATACAGAGATTTTTTTGTAGTTTTAGCGCGAGCAGAGCCGCGGGTTCTGCTAGTTACTTAAATAATTAATCAACGTAATATCCCCCCAGGCCGTGCCGGCAGATACGGCAGCGCGTGGGAGACCGGTCACGTGACCACGTACAAGGCGGAGGACCTCGCCACGCTCAAGACCCTGCTGGCGCAGCCCCCCGAGCCCGTGGCGCAGGCCGGCCTGCACCCCACCGCCGAGCAGATGGAGCTGTATGCTTACCATCTGCCCCATGCTAGCCTTAGTAGTCTTATGGTATGTGAGTCTATAACTTTGACGACATGTTTGGCTCAGTTGGTAGTGACCCTACTTGCTGTGCCAGCGGTCGCGGGTTCGAGTCCCGCTGGGGGCATTCATTTGTGTGATGAGCACGAATGTTTGTACTCCAGTCATGGGTGTTAATATTTATAATATGTATGTATTTAAAGTTATATATGTGTAGTGTATCAACTATCTGGTATCCATAACACAAGCCTCGTAGCTTACCATGGTACTAGATGGTGCTGTGTGTTAATGTCTCAACATTTATTATTATTATATTAACTTATACACTTATCATCTGCCCCATACTAGCCTTAGTAGCCTCATGATAAGTAGATCCATACTATACATACACAATTATTACTCATTTTTTATATGCTAAAATGAATAAGAACAGAAGAAGGAATACAAACACAAACATCTGAAAGTTATTAGATATCGATAATATTTTTTTACTTTTTAATAATTTGCAGGACATCTTCGTTCACCTCTGCACAGTGGACGATTCTCTATACTTCATGTGCAACACTGAGGGGTTCAAGTTCCTGGCGGAGATGATCCAGCACGTGCCGCTGCCGCTGCGCGCGCGCTACGTGTTCTGCTGCGCGCCCATCAACAACAAGCTGCCCTTTGTGTGCGCCACCTTCCTTAAGGTGAGTGAGTCAGTGAGTGAATTGTGTGTGATACGCTCCTTAAAGTTAGTGAGTTAACTATAAAGCTCTGGTTTGGGGTACCTTGAACATTCTTTAAGAAAAAGCACGCACGCGAACATACTACCTGAATTTTCGTGTGCGTGCACATCTGTGTATGTGTGCGATTGAACTGATTTCGATGTTTTTTTGGATTAGATTATGGATATTGATTTAAACTAAATTTGAGTATTGGAATAGTTGCTTATTAAGTTATTTTATTTTCTTATTGGTCAACTATCTGAGTCTCTGTAATAATACAAGCATACACTATAAAAAAGTGCCATAAACATAGATAGATGTATATTGTATGTATATATGCCAAATGAAAAATGATTTTAGTTTTGGATTTTACCATCCATGCTCACTCGGATAAGACGATGACTGGTTTTCTTATTTTTATTGAAATCCGCTGAACACCGTGACGAAATAACAAACACTCACCTATAAGCTGTTATTTTCATAACATGAATGTTATTAAATAAATATATTGTATTGCAGATGGTCCGTCAGTACAGTCGCAACGAGCCAATAACGCGGAACTGGATGAGCAATGCGGTAGACTGGCCGATGCCTTCGCCAAAAACCATCATGGACTTAGTACACTTGGAAGCCGTCTTTGATGTTCTTGAGCTGTACTTGTGGCTTAGGTAAGTGTTCGGCCAATTTATTAACTTTGTTGATTTTTAATCTTTTTTAGTAAATGAGATTGATGAAATGTTGGCCTAATCTTAGCAGAGAGAGCTAGTCCAGTCGTTGACGAAATATGGTGCCAACAGACAGACAAATATTTATTTGATTAATTGTTGTTGCATTGTCTTTGATATTGCCGTTTTGACATCACAAATCGATTATTATTAATGAACATAACGTATCGTAAATGTATTTGCCTAAAATATATAAAATTGTTTATATACATATATGTTGTATATATAACTATTTCTCACTTGTCATATTTGATAATATTTTTTAAATATTGTGGCGTTATGCTCAATTTTATCATTTATTCTATATGGTATTTACCCTTATGATTTAGTTAGATTATAGTATACTAGCAGAACCCGTGGCTTCACAAAAAAATATCAAAAATTTAGGTTTCATAAAAACTTTCATCCCCTATTTTACCCCCTTAAGGGATGAATTTCGAAAAATGCTAAAACATGTATTTATTAATTTGTATTGAAGAGCATATTAATACCAATTTTCAAGTAATTCTGATCATAAATATTTTTTGGGTTGTATTATAAAAATTTTTCCCGTGGAAATAAGATGATCTCCCGCGGTAAAAAGTAGCCTATATCACTCTCCAGCCCTTCAACTATCTCCACACAAAAAATTATACCTATCCGTCACTCCGTTTCGACATGAAAGAAGGACAAACAAACAAACACACTTTCACATTTATAATATTAGTATGGATTATGAGAAAATAATTGTATGTTATCTCCTTTTTACATGACAATGGCGAAGTAAATTGTGCCCAAATGGCACCTCTATAAGCAACAGAACAATGAATTGTATTGAAAATATAGAGAATTTGGATGTTTTTTTAAAAAAAATAAACGCTTACTGAAAATTGTTAAGAGATTTTTTTAAACAATTAATTTTTAATATAATTTTACAATTAAATGTCTTCTTTTTTTGACAATGCCAAACGCCAGTGACGTCATTATATCGCTTTAGTAACGCCACCGCATGGCGAAATGATAAAATACATGTTTACGTTATTAAAATCAAAAAGTTGTCATTGAATAAGACAAGTTATATTCGTTTTTAAATTATATATTTAATTCACGTTTGACTATTTTGTTATGACACATGGTCATCCGAATATAGAAAATAGAAAAGTATAGTATGATTGCGATTGACTAACACTTTCAATGGATATAATGACGTCACAATCAATCATAAGTCGTTTTATTTCGTTGAAAAATTTAACAATTTTGTTATTTATATTTACTAAAAAAAAAAAATAGAATTTTTAATAACAAAAAAGTTATTAAAATATATTTTAAATGTACTTCTTTCATTTCTATATAAATTTTTGGCTAACAAAAATTAAATGTAACTTTTTATTTCACAGTTATAGATTCCCAGACATGTTCCCCGATGTTAAGTTGGTGCGTGAAATGGAGTCCGAGTTGGACGCTATTATTCAACAAGGAATATTCCAGATCACAAGGTAACAACTATTTTAATACACTTTTCTTATTAATATAATTTTAGTGACGATGATTTTAACGTTAAACAACTTCAGTAACAATCGGGTACATAGGAGAAAAATGGAGAAAGTTTCGAAAGCAAAACCAAATATTTGCATGTAACCTTTCCGCTTTCTGTTAACTTTTGTATCCTACTTCTAGCGGTTGCCTGTAATAGATCACTTTTAGTGATAAGGCCGCCTTCGCACATTTCTTTAAATGTATTTTTTTGTATGTATCATTTTTATTTTTGTGTGCAATAAAGTGTTTAAATAAACAAATAAATAAATATTTGGTTTTCAAGGTTTTGAAAGAGTTTTAAAATAAGATATTGTGGATGGTTAATAAAGGTGTCCCAAAATTCACGCAAGATTTGAATTTGCCGCCATTTACGCGGTAAGTGTTGACAACCAAAAAATTAGAGCAATGTGATCTAACACAATTGGATTTTCTAACCCTAATAGATAGACTATTTTATTAAAATAAAAAAAGAAAAAAAAAGTATGATTTTTATATTCAATTCAAATCTTGCGTGATATTTTGGACACATATATAAGAACTATTACAATTATATACAATATTCATTGATATATAAAAAAATATACACATTTCCTAACAAATGTTTCTTCAAAAAGTAGCGTCCACGTGACGTGACGCTAGGAGGATTGTGGAGTGTCGATAGTTGATACGCGGCGCGAGTAGGTTTTAAAAAAAATGCTATCTGTTTCATACCGCTCGCTTTGTCAACCCGTATGGTGCGATAGAGAGAGTTGCAAATCTTCGGAGCAATTACCTATATTTCCTGTTTGAAATATTGTTTCGGGCGATAACGCGATTTATTATGCGATAAGCAATAAATAAATAAATATTGAAAAAAAAAACGCGCTCAATTTCGAACTGTGCACTTTTTTCAAGACATTTTTGAGACGCTAATTGTATACTTTGAGTTTTTGTATCAAATTCAAAATGTTTTATTCAGCATTAAATTATGACATTTTTGTACTGAACGTCATGAGTCTACTACCAGTTCGGAAAGAAGAAGCCTCAGACCTGAGAAGAACTGGCGATAGAAACTCAGCGGGACTAATATTATTTCATTATCTTTTTTTATAAGGTTACAATATTTCTATGAAATCTTAAGTAGCCTGGAGATAATCACTTCATTCCCAAGGCGTGCCATCTTCTATAAAATCATTAAATGTTTAAATAGCCTTTAGCACACAGACGTTCTTTAACAATTCTTTTGAATTTGGCGAAAGAAGCTTTTTGAACATTTTGCTGGGATCTTGTTGTATACATTGTCCATAATTACTGACTCTGTGAAGACGAGTCACAGGCATTACAAGTTTTTGTAAATTAATGACATTAGTACGATATTTTATCAGGTTATTAAGAAATTCAGAGCAAGTGCTACGTAGTGAGCCCGATGCGAGTGAAGCTGTGAGGGGCAAGAAGATGGGAAAACACTCCCCGGCAGCGAGGGGAGAGGAGAAAGGGAAATTGTCAGAAATGCTAGTCGCTCGGGTAAGGTTTTAGGTTAAAATTATTTACATATTCATGTTTTTCATGCTGGGCTTAGTGCTTATTAATATATATATATATATATATATATATATATATATATATATATATAAGTTAAATGTGTGTGTGTAACTTAAGTTAGCAAAAACGAACAAACAGTCCGACAAATACTTAAATGTTACTTGTAATGACAAAAACTTAAATATTAATAAAATAACCTTTAATGTATAATTATAGATAAGTATGTTAATAGTATTTTTTTTATTTTTAGGGTTTAATAACTCCACAGATGTTAAAAAAACTCCAACAGGAACTTACGACAGATAAAACAGACAGACGGAGTAAAACCGGACGGAATAGAAGAAAATAGTGTTAGACTATAAATTGTAAATTGTTTTGAGTATGAGTTTGCATGAATGTGTAATAAAGTGTTATGTGAATAGTTTATTTTGTTGTTTTAGTATACATATTATCTTTTTCTTATAGGTATAAATATAAATGAATGTATGTATGTTTGTCCTCTGTGTTCCTAAATCATTGATCCAATTGTGATGAAGCTCTCGGTGGGTTATATATATACTAATATATACATATATAGCAAGGTATATGACTGCGACGGTTCATGGCGCAAAAAAAAAAGATTTTTCTTTGGACGTTTGACTTTTATGCGTTCGTAAACCATTTCAGCTTAGCGAAGCGAGGGTAAGTCGCCGGTAATGTTATAAACCAAAAGTGAAAATAAATATAAAACTATAAACAAAATCTAAATTTATATTTACATTTCAACATCCAAGATATTGAATAAAATAATTAATTAGATGAACCTTAATTTTAACGCTTTCTCTTTATATCCCAACTCTCAAGTTTTGACGACATGTTTGGCTCATTTTGTAGTACTTGCTGTGCCAGCGGTCGCAGGTTCGAGTCTCGCTGGGGGCATTCATTTGTGTGATAGCACGGATGGTTGTACTCCAGTCATGGATGTTTATATTTATAATATGTATGTATATAAATTTATATATGTGTAGTATATCAACTATCTGGTATCCATAACACAAGCCTCGTAGCTCACCATGGAACTAGATGGTGCTGTGTGTTAATGTACCATTACCAACATATTTATTTATTTAATTTACCTAACTCTTGAAAGGCTAAACAACAAATACCTTCACATAGTAATATAAGTAATTAAAAACAATGTTTTTTGCTACATTTTAAGCCTTCTAGCAATTAACGACTATCGTTGCCACAACCTTCAAAGAAGTTATATTTGAATACTTATTTCTGTCTATACTTTATGATTTTCAATTATCTATAAGCAAAGCTTGTATTGTTAGTAGGTTCAATTTCGATACGTTAAAACTTTTGAATTATTTTCCACACACAAATACTAACTTTCGCACTATATATAATGATGATGTTCTCCTGGCCGATTCCGGCCACGGCGGCCAATCTCATTGAGACTAGCCAACTGCGCAGGAGATATTATAGTGCAGCGCGTGTGAGAGAGAGCGCAAACACAACGTGCACTCTCTATTCCTGTCACTCTCATACTCCGGTGGGACGACGCGAGACACGACCGGTGAGAGTTAAGGCGCAGGACCGACGGCTTTACGTGCTCTTCGAGGCACCGGGGTTAAAAACAGCCAACTTCCCAACTCCGAGCTGTCACTGAGGCTTACTATACAGAAAGACTCAATAACTAACCTTGGCCCGAACCGGGACTCGAACCCAGGACCTCCGGTGTGCAGCTGTACATGCTAGCCACTACACCACCGAGGCAGTTACTACATATAATAGTAGTCAGAAATATGCAAACACCTAGGGAAAAGAAGTATTTAGCGAAAATATTTTATACAAGTTTAAAAGTAATTTATGCATATGCTATTGTCCTCTCTAAATGTAACAGATTAGGCGTAACCCGAGGATAATTAGTACAGACAGAGTTATTTTTATTTCTTATATATTTGTATGTAATAAAATTACTTAAATATTTTTATATGCGAGTTCAAATCTGTTTATAATTTATAGCTTTTAAATACAAAATTTTCATAAAAATTGCTCTCATAACTTATGCATGATAAAAAACAAAGTCTAGAAATCAGTGTGTTGCCACTTTATATTAATGTAGTTTAATGGTGAAGTATGATATAAAAATAATCGAGCGCTTCAATATCTCCGGAGAAAATATCCTTTAGGCGACAAACAAACTATAAAAGACAATCCTGTAGTTTCTGCGTGATTGGAGAACGAACAGATAAAATTCGAAAGTTGCATAAATGGTGCATATATCGATAAAAGTAGAGTTCCATTAAAATATTTAATGTTCCTACATTAGCATATTTACAAATTGTCTCTTAAGTTTATATTATATATATATATATATATATATATATATATATATATATATATATATATTTCATTTGTATTATAATTAAGTGTATTCTTATTTAACTTGCTTCATACTTCACTTTAATTTGAAAAAAATCACCGATAATAAATTCTTTTTTAGAAATTCAATTACAAGTAGAATATTATCTTTAGGTGAACTATAGCTTCCCACTTAAGAAATCATAAAAATACCTCATATCTATCTACATCTTACTAATATTATAAATGTGAAACTTAGATGGATGTTTGGATGTTTGTTACTCAATCACGCTAGAACGGCTGAATGGATCTGGATGAAATTTCGCACAAAAATAGAGTATGGTCTGGAAGAGCACATAGGCTACTTATTATTCCGGAAAAATGTACAGTCCCCGTGGGATAGATTTGTTTCTGTTTTTCTAGAGGCGAACCGGAACGAAGAGAGGTTGAGCCGCTAGTATATAATATTTTGCCACCAGAGTAACCTTTTGTATATAAAATAATATTGTATTTAATTATTTAATAGTGATTGCTAATAAATAATGTAAACTCATTTAAGAGGTAAAGTTTGTAAGTTTGGATGTAGGGTGATCTATGAAACGACTGACAAAATATATGACAACTAGCGGACCCGACAGACGTCCTGTCTACACGTCTTTAATTTGAAAATTTCAAACTTTTTTTAATAATTTTTTTGATACAAATTATTATTCAAATTGTGAATCTAAACCATTCCCAGATCCCCTTGAACACACACAAAAAATTTCATCAAAATCGGTCCAGTCGTTTAAGAGAAGTTCAGTGACATACACACTCACAGAAGAATTATATATATAAAGATATGACACCTAGGAACCCACCCGAGCGAAGAGAGGGTAAATCGTTTAAGATAACATGCTAAACTGTTATTTAACACGTTATCATAAACGCCATTAAATTACGACCTATTGACATGTAAGTAGTAAACGGATGCATATCACTTAGTGTTACGAAGTCGAGAGGGTAGGCGTACAGACGTACAGTTGCTAAGACTGACACAATGTTAAACTCTGGTCGATGTTTACTCGCACTTTTTTTATTATTTCATGAAAATTCAGTGAAAACTAGTGGTACGATATTTTAAATAGGTGTTTTATTATAATAGTTATGTTGTTTGGTGTTTTACAAAAGTTGCATTTACAGCTTTTAGAATATTTAACATCGACGGCAAGGAAACTATATTGGCCTCCGAAAATGAGAATATTAGTATACAGTGCAAATCGGATTTCCCTATGACTTATTGTGGATTTGTTCATCCCAGTGGGAAACGATTTTCGTAAGTATCAACTTTTTTATGCGTTGTTATGTTTCTTACAGAAATATGTTCATCTGGCGGCAGATATTTGGAAGTTGTTAGATTTTTTTATGCAAAGAAACTTAAAATAATAAAAATTAAAAAATAAAGTAAAACGGTATCTACAAATTATGTAAATTACTTAACACCTACAGTGGAATATGATAAAAACAAGTACCGAAAAACAGGTCTAGATAGTCGAGCGAACAGTCAGTTTAGTCTAAATCGCGCACCGAAGGTTCCGTACCTTTATCATTATTAATTATGTCTTAAGTTTAAATTTTAACTTTTGCAATTTGTTAGTAAACAAGTACAAAATAATATATAGAAAAACCTATTGCATATATTATGTTTTATTACAATATGTATTTTTTAAAACTACTATGAAAAATATAGTTATTTTTCCATTCATCAAACTATGAAAGTGTGTAACCGATAATATTACGTATGTACCCATCTGAGAAACCACTCAATTTATGTTCATAAAAATAATTTTCGTTGGAAGTGATTTTTTTAGCTAAGTACGTAACTCCGATGGAGTAGTCTGATTAATTCTAAAAAATAATATTAATTCTTAGTAAGCCAATTATCTTATTTTTTTTCGAAATATTGCCATAATATATAATATTTAACTTTAAAAGTTAAATGATTTGGTGTTAACGTTTACGAGTTATGAAGCGTACAAATTAGCACATATTGACAAAAAAAAAAAATTACCATTACATAATATATGGAATACCGCTGTAATTATATTTATTGTTCGTTATCTGACAAGAGCATAGTACTTTTTTTTTTTTTTTAACGTTGGGAAATGCATTTACGCACGAGGTGTGGGACTCACCGACAAAGCCAGTACTACCCACTAAAACCCAACAAAACCTTCCCCCGTCTTAATGGGGCGTCGCAGGATCGCTTACGCATTCAACTACGACGCCCCGACGGCAGGTCTGCCGAGGCAGACCACAACGACCATGGGGTTGCTCCAAAGTCCACTCTGCTATCAGAGAAGTACCAGGAGCAACCCGCATGGTACACCGCCCTCCGAAGAGGGCCACCTCCCACCGCCCACCGAAGTGGGCCACCTCCCTGTGCGTTTCTTGGCTTCGCGCCCGGTTGGATTGCCGGGCGCTACTGAGCCCCCCCACCACGACAAGGTGAACGCACGTTGGGGGGGGGGACAAGAGCTAGATTCACATAAGACATCTGCAATGCTCGGGTTTTTAGTTTTTAGTACCAATAGTCTCTGTGGACTGTGGGATGGACATGACGGAATCAAGGTTTCCGGTCTTGCGTTTTGATACAGTACCGTAATAACAATGGCTAACCCTAATGTTGTATTTAAATATTATTATTGTTTAAACAACTCCTTAATCGCTACTGATAGTGACATATTCAAACACACACTTAGCTTCAGTCATTATTATTAACGAAGCGTGGACATTAAATTGATAAGATTTTAACATTAACAAGTAAGTTAATGTTAAAATCTTATCTGTATAAAGATATATAGAGCCAAATTCAAACAACTTTTTTGGTTAAAATGTGTCTTGCCACATTTTAAACCAAAAAGTTATTTCATTTATCCTTAGATGATGGAATTAAGATACATATAAATTTTAAAATATGGGCTATGATAAATAAAAATACACTACATAAGGGAAATGTACCTAATAGTAAAATATAATTTTGTGTGGCGTACTCATGCATATTATGATGATAACAACTTTTATAACTTTTTGAATCGTTATATCTCAGAAACGGTGGCTCGTAAGAAAAAAAGTATTGATACATTTTTTATAGATAATTTTATGATCTACAATTTTTGTCTGAGGTACTGTTATGATAAAACGTACCGTTTTGCTGAAAATCGCGACTCATTTTTTTGACCTTTGACCTTGAATAAAAAAAAATTCCATACACGGGAATGATGGGGAACTTTTAAACATTGTTTATAATTATGTTTTAAACAATTTTGCTGATTTTCAGCTTGTTGGGATTTTATGTACCTTCACTCTCATTTTTTGGTCTAGATTGACCGGACTACAAATCGTATTGAACAGATTTTAACTATATTTTGTGTACGTATCTAGTGATAACTTATTATTCGGGTCAACATTTAGGATACCTTTCACTACAGGAAAATCTCTCATTCCCACAAGAAATCACATTAACTGGTTCATTCGAGTTCTCCTTTATACAAGAAATTTTTAATTATTTATTTCACACTAGCGACTCTCCCTCGCTCCGCTCGGGTTCGTCTCTATTAGTTACGTTTTAACGTTTAGTATAGATTTCTCAGAGATGAGATATTTTCCCGCAATAAAAAGTTTCCTACATGTCCCCGGAAATCCAGCTACCGTCATAGCAAATTTCAACAAAGTCCCTCCAGTGGTTTTCCCGTGATGCGGTTACAGACAGACGGACAGACAAAAATTCTAAAAACTATAAATTCGGCCTTTGCATTGATAATAATGACTATTTCAATAAAATTTTCCATAAAATACCTATTTAATGTACAGATTTGACTCAGAATTTTAATATGTGTACTTATAGATAAGTATGTACAATGTCCATATATGAAAACAGTTCATCCAATTAAGGTACAGTATCAAACTAATCGTATTTTATTAAGATTTACAGATCGTGCAGTAAATGATGGCAAGTGCGTTCAAAAGATAAATGCAACAAAGGCAGATAATGGTGAATGGCGTTGTCACATAGGAAGGAAGACTGTTAGATTAGAAATAATAAAGAAAATTCAAGTTCGAATCGTTAACGATTTGGCTGCTATAGTGCCTGATGTGAGTGTTAAATTAGGCAAACCCGTAACTCTATCTTGTGCAACTACAAAAGGATATACGCCTTTGAGCTATTGCCGATTTGAACCACCCAATGGAAATTCGTTTAACATTGATTCATCTGTGACTGCTAAAGAGTAAGTAATTCCTTCCTTACTTAATTAAATTTTGGAAGTAGATTTTAACCTACTAACCTAATTGCCGTATCCATTCAAAACTTTGTACAATAACATAATAATTTGAGGCAATCGAGATAAGTTGATGGAATCATAGAACCACGAGGAGGATAGTGGAACTTATCAGTGGCTACTAGTAAAATCTTCGAGTTTAGTTTAATTATAATTTATATACGTAAGTAATACTTTTTTTAGATTTACGCGAATATTTGGCATTTTAAACAAAACTATCTTTTCGGATTTATTTATTTCGATTTTTGATTCCCGACGTTTCGAATGCTTTACAGCAATCATGGTCATGGGAGATTCTGTCAATCCGAAAAGATAGTTTTATTTAAAATTTATATACGTTTTGATTTCACATTAAAATCAGTCTTTATTAGGTATATTTCAAATAATTAATTAATTGACAGCTGCCGGTTAAGCTTTCGTACCTACTTCTAGCCTGATGTTATTGGCTTCACTCCAAACCGTAGTGTTATTTGTTAAGTAGATAGGTACTAGGTAGGTAGTTAGAATTAAACAAACACACAATCGATCACTCATTAGGTAGGTACATATTTATTTATTGATAATATTTTAATGAGTTTAGTTCTTTACTATAACATGAAAATAAAGTACAATAACAGTTTTTACACATATTAAGTTCACGCAAGGTTTAAAAAATAAATTATTTTTCATATATGAATGGATCGGTCTATTCGCCTTCGCGTCTTTACAGCGCTGGATTTACACTAGGGGCACTCGGGGCTAGTGCCCAGGGCGGCAAAATTCGGAGGGCGGGAAAAAAAAAATTCTCGTCGCGTTATCAAAAATGCTTTTTTTATTTTCCAAAAGATAATCAATTTAAAATGTTTATGAGTACATTTTTCGAAAAGTTAAAACTATTTTTAAATTATTTCTTTGCATTTAAAAAAAAATAAGAATAAAAAAAATAAACTTTCAACATTTTATTCAAAATTTTGATAATATGGCGGCATTTTTTACTATGCCCAGAGGCGGCGCTGAGGTAAAATCCGACACTGCGTCTTTATTACTTTGCTTAGCAATAGATAGAGGTGTTATAGGAAAATCAATGTATGGGTTTATTTGTGTTACGATAAGAATACAAAATATCTTTGCTGATTACAACTTTGTATACTTAATTTATGTTTCTTGATATTTTATTGGGGACAAGAGGACGCCCAGATGAAGAGATTTCTCAACAATATTATAAACAAACATAAAGAAAAATTTGTTTGTTTGTATGTAGGTATATTATATTAAATTTCTTTGTCAACTTGGTCTCATCTTTTTAGTTCGCTCTTTATTTATTTGTTTTATTTAACAATTTTTTTATCCTCATTTATTTTTCAACATATAGGTAAGTTGTATGTATATATTTTTGTAATCGCCTCTTAAAAACCTGTGTTTTGATACCCCACTCGGTTGATTCGGAGGAAAAAAAGTTTGTCGAAAGTCAAAACGAACAAATTCGGTCCTAAGATCTGCCATTTTAATTTTTAATAATATTTACATATATATCTACCCCTTGACACTCGCGTTATTAAGACAAATATAATGACGTCACGTATAATCGAAATTGATTAAACCGTTTAGTAATTATGAGGGAACATGGAACCGGACGTACATACATACATAATCATAAGATACTGGTCAGAAACGTAATCCTCCTTTAAAAAAAACTCGAGTTTATTTTTTTATTGTAAACGCTATAAATCTGCATTATTTAAGCATTTACCATCATCAGTCTGACAGCGAAAAAAAAACGCAAATTTGTATTATTATAAAGAAAACTTTTTATTTTCAGGCCAATTCTTAAGAAATATTATTTCCCATCCAACAGCAGCCTTGACCGAGGCGACTGCGCGGTTACTATAAGTAATGTGAAGTATGAAGACGTGGGAATGTGGACTTGTGGGGTCGGTCTCGACGATGGCAATGAGCACATCGACGTTATCAAGCTAGAGGTCGAAGGTTTGATGTGTTGCGATCGATAGTTTGATTTTCAAGTTTATCTAGGAAGCGCAATAAATGTTGTATTGCACAAGTGAGGGAGCTTAATTGTGCCCCAGATTTTGGCGCTAATTGATTAGATAGGGCGAAAGCGGGCAGGGGAGAGTGTGGATAAGATGGAAAGAACGCGTGCGAATTTAGATTTTTCCTTCGTATTATCACAGTCTATAAATCAAAATTTGTACACTGTGGTATTATTAAAACAAATACACGTTTTAAAAATGTAATGTGTGTACATTATAGAAAACGTATAGTATTGTTGTTGTTAAAAAACTGATGAACTTCCTTGAATTATTTACGCCGCACTAAGGGTTTATTTTGTTTTTAGATATCATTTTGGATTTTTTTTTCTATCGAGGAAACTACGAGTAAACTGATCGTGCTTCTAAAGTACGATTTATAGAATAAATCCTTAAATATCCTATATATTAATTGTATAATTAAAGTTTTAGTTATAACAATACAGCAAGGGATCAAACGAACACAATTATTTCGTAATTATGGTTCGCTGCCTCGGTGCGAAAATAGTGTGCTTTAATTTGTATTGGCTGGCACCGACTTGGAAAATATCTGATTAGGTATCTGTTCTAAATGAAAACCTCCGTTTAGTTATTTTTTACTTAACGGTGCCTGGAAGTCGGTTTTTAATATATTTTTCAAGTTTTTTTTTTAAATGAACTGCCTCAGTGGTCTAATAACTAGCATGTACGGCTGCAGATCGGATGAATTTCAGATACTGGCTATTGACAGAATGAATGAGTATATAATAGTTAACGCTTGAAAGATGAACTTTTCCCAATAATTGCAGGAATGTACACTATGTCTACAGCATCAGTGACTGGTGTTACGTTTGGGGGTGTACTAATTGCTGTTGCTTTGGCATCATTGGGATATATTGCGTGGAAGAAGAGAAGGATATTGGGTGGGGCGCCAGCTGAGCCGGAAGTGATTGAGATCCAAGAAATGGGTCAACAGCCAAGATTAGGAAGCCCAAGACAAGGAAGGAGCATCCCATCTCTCGTTGTTCAGTCCCCCTCTGATCCCGGAGAACCAGGGTCATCTCCATTAATGTCACGAACGTAAAGCCCTATGTAAAATTATCAATTGTAAAAATGTAAATATTAGTCAAGTAATTATTAAATATGCTGCAATTTTGTGTTCGCGTAGTTCTAGCTAAAGCTTCTGTTATACTTTTCTTGTACTCACTCTTTTTCATCTCATTTCAAAACTTTCAATATATATTGTAATGGGTCTATTAGTGCAAAAGTGACCACATCTTAATTTTTTCAGTAATATGAATGTATAGTATTTTGTGCCAGTCAATTATATGACAAGGGCCTTTAGTACGAGATTTTATGATATTCATGTAATATATTTCAGTTTCCACTATCAGCTATTGAGGAGATGGATGGAAAATACATTAATATCTTATATATAAAATTTCCATGTCACAATGTTTGTTACTGAACTCCTCCGAAACGGCTTTACCGATTTTTACCAAATTTTATATGCGTATTCAGTAGGTCTGAGAATCGGCTACTATCTATTTTCCATACCCCTAAGGGATAAGGATAAGGGTGGTCCTCCCAGACCCCACCCCAGAGACGAACCCGAGCGGAGCGAGGGTGGGTCGCTAGTATTATATATAATTTATATTAAGTATATTATTTAAACTAGTGGATCACCTTCGGTTCGCTCGAGTTTGTCCCTAGATTTGTTTCAACGGTTAGTATGGAATAGATAACTATATATTATATGTTAATATATATAGGCTACAGCCTTCCTTAATAAAAGGGCTATCTAATGCAAAAAAATATTTTTCAACTCGGAATAGTACTTCTTGAGATTAGTGCCTTCAAACAAACAAACCAAAGAAAACTCTGCCTCTTTATAATATTAGTATAGATTACTGTCAAAACTTGACATAAGAGCCCAGTTATTTTCGCATAATAAAAACACAGCAAATAAACTATTAAACATACTTATATGTTCATATTTATCATAATAATATAATATCATTATCTAGTTTGTGATAGATCCTTTTTGCACTCATGACCTAATATTTACTCTTTTTTTTTTAATTATTTCTTACTTCACTTCTTGTTATTTATTTTGATTATTGTTTCAACTGTTCTATTCTATTAGATTTATTACTGAAATTAAAATAATAATTATAAGTACATTCTGAAGGCTGTAACATGAATTAATATTATATTCATATTAATATTTTATATAGTTCATTATACCTACCTAATTAAAAAGTGTTGTAACTTCTAACAAAGTATTTTATTTTAAGTATTAAAATTTAAAATCAAATGTAAAACTTAAATTTGCAATTTGCACAAAAGTAATACAATAACGTGGATTATTATTTAGTTTATAAGTTGCTTTAATATTTTTTCTTCATGATCAAAAAAAAATGTTATAAATTAAACTGTAATTAAACACCCAAGTAATTATTGTTTTAAATAAAACTATCTTTTCAGATTTTGTCGCGGATTTATTTGCATTTTTGTTTCCCGACGTTTCGAATGCTTTACAGCATCCATGGTCACGGGAGAGACTCAGTCTCTCCCGTGACCATGGATGCTGTAAAGCATTCGAAACGTCGGGGACCAAAAATCAAAAAAATCCACGAAATAATTTGAAAAGATAGTTTTATTTAAAATGTTAAATATTCGCGTGAATCTAAGAAAGTATTAATCATTGTTTATGTCAAACTTAGGATATAGAATAAAAACAGCTCTGTAGAAATCCAAGAGAAACAGATAAAATGTAGAATTAGTTGTTTTTACTTTATTTAATAAATACCCACAATATTATTTAAGTGTACAAGTTTGGCCTTATACTGAAAATATTAATCAAATGTCATATAAAGCGTGTAATCCTAATAACTAGGGTGGTTTAACATGACTGCTAACCTTTCCATATTCACAGCATACACTGAATGGCATGCTATGACATTTTTATGTGTCAGTAATGTACTATATAATTCATCTATAGTCAATCTGTCATCAGTTTGCTGTGTTGATGGTGCACTGAAAATAAATTTACATAAATTACAGCTTTTTTTCAATAGTAAAATAAAAATTGTATAGTTAATTTTGCAAGAAGAAAAATAAAATAAGTATTTTACTATAATGTACCTGCAGGCAATTTCAAACACTGCTGACTGTTCAACTTCATCTATAGTCGGAGGGCATCTTGGTCCCAGACCATCAACACTGTCGTCCAAGTTAATTCGTCCTTCGCTTTGTGGATCATATAGCTTATTAGTATTTCTTAGCCACATATTTGGCATATCCCCTCCTATATCATACATAAATCTCTGATTTCTTGTCTTATATCCTTTTCTTTGTGCTAAAACTGCACTTATAATGTTTTTAAGAAAATTTTGTACTGCAACTACTATAATATCTGCTGCTTCATCATCAGCTCCTTCTAATCCAAGTTCCCAAGCTGCTAACATGAATCTTCCTACTACTAATGCATGGTCTGGGAGGAATATTTCCTGTAATTTATTAGATTGTGATTAGGAAAAGGTAAAATAAATATTACTATAAACTTATCAAAGTAAAATCTGAAAAACAAAATCAAATTAGGATTTTATAAACAAATTTTTATACCTGTGTTGCATATTTGACACCATCACTACCAGCACCTGGAGGTGAATTAGGTGGCAGGTACTCAATTAAATCAGCAGGTTCGAAATTAGATTTCTCAGATGTACGAGAATTTCGTTTATGTCTTCTGCTATTTCTATTATGTGAGTTGACTTTTTCTTGAGCTATACTTATTGATGTCTCGGCTAAGCCTTCAACTTTATTCAACAAAGCCAGTAAAAATTCATTATGATAATGAACTTGATCGGGGTTTAATAAAGCTCGAGCTTCTGTGTCGAATTCTTCTTTAGTAAGTTTCATTCGAAACCACTGCTTCATATGATTAAAATATTTTGTAGATTTATCACCTAAAGCATCATTTAACTTACGGCGTGATATATTTAACGCGTCAGAGGACATTTTAAGTACTTCTATAATAATGCAATAAAAAGATTTGAGAAAATAACACGTTTTACATTTCTACAAGAAATTTAAAACTAGTTAAACAATCATCAAATCAATTTTATTTCCAATTTTTTTCTTTTCTTAGTAATTATTTTCAATTATTTGTCGACAGTTTTTGACATACATGAATTGACAAAGGAGCAATGACAATTGACAATAGACATCTGACACAATTACTTTGATATTATTGATTTTTAATTCTTGCCAGTATATTATTATAATTAGATACAATCATAGAGAATTCTACTATAATGTAATGGGGAAGAATTTAACCTTTTTCTCCCGCCAGATATCGCAATCACTATGATCCTCAGTATATTGTAATGCTCTATAGTGTGGTTATTTATTTTATTTTAAAATTAATTAAAATGACAAATTGTGCCATGCCAGGAGGCAAAGTAAATGGATATTATTTTAAATAAAACTATCTTTTCGGATTTGATTTTTTATGATATTTTGATTTTTGGTTCCCGATGTTTCGTATGCTTTACAGCAATCATGGTCACGGGAGAGACTAAAGCGTTAGATGTCGCAAAGGTATTACATAAATAGTTTTTTTAGACAGCCTACCCACAAATAACAAAATGAATTCAATAAATTGAAAAATGGCACCAAAGTACCCTACAATATTTTTTAATTTTTAACATTATAGTGGACATCATTCGTTCCCAAAAGACAAAAACTGAAGAAATTGTGGGCTTAAGCAATAACACAACCAAAATGGGTGAAATCTCAATTTTTATATTTAAGGCTATGTGGACAACATTTTACAGAAAGTTATTTTAAAACTCTTAAATCATCTACGGAACTCCATACAAACTTTCATCCCTAATTTTACTTTGATTGAATTTCGAAAAATGCTAAAAGACGTATTTATTTAATTGTATTGAAGAGCATTAATATCAAGTTTCAAGTAATTCTGATCATAAATAATTTTTTGCCCATATAAACTTTTCCCCTTTTGCCCCTTTAAGGGATGAATTTCGAAAAAAATGATAAGTATATTTTTATTTTTTATCTTAAAGTTAAACACCACTTTCTGTGTATTTCACTTTAATAATGACAGAGTTTCATACAATCTTTAATTCCCTATTTTACCAACTTAGGGGATGATTTTTGAAAATTCCTTTCTTGTTAGATGCCTACATAATATAAGGAATACGTCTTTCAAATTTCACGTTTCTACGATCAGCGGTTTGGGCTGTGTGTTGATCCATCAGTCAGTCAGGACTCAGGACCACTACAGAATGCACCTCTCCTTCTCAGTTCTTCCTTCAACTGGTCTATCTTCCAGGTACAGTACATTGCACAGGTTAGATGCGAACACAATAGAAGCAAAAAACCCAGTACAAAAAAGATATAATAAATTGCTTAGCTTGAGACTGAATATAAATAGATCATACGTGTAGGGCCCTCCTTTCAAGAAATCTTCTTCATTGTAAAGTGCATAGAGTATGTAACCCTTTTTAGTAGAGTGTAGACTGCCTCTTATTAAAGTATGATTAGTTAAATTAGAATATTATAAATACTAAAAAAAAAACGACTTCCATTCACTAAAATGTAAAAAATAACTAAACGGGGGTTTTCATTTAGAATAGACACCTAATTAGATATTTCTATTTTTTGTTACTTAAAGGCTTATTTGTTATTAACAAAACGAATTAATGGCGCTTATGGCAAAATATTCAAGTTTTTGTTTTAGCTTTTTTTTTTTAGTTTATGGGTGATATATATATTATTATAAATTAGCCATTAAAATTAATAAAAAAATGCATTAACTTTTTTATGGTATAGGATTTAATTTAACGCAAAGTACCTGTTATTTTAAGGCAACTTTTTTGTCATGATTTTCAAACTAAATGCGGACTAAGTTTTAAGCACTATTGTATCAATCCTTAAATACTAAGACTGGGTTCACACGGCATTGTCCTGCACGTTTTTTTGCAGTATACGTCTTAACGAATACATAGCCGCCCCAGGAGAATAAAATGATAACTGCAATAACACCATTTTTCAGTTAAAATAAAAAACATATTTTTGACTTTAACTTTCTAAGCAATAGATGTAGAGAGATAAAAAAAAGCTCAGTGATAGCTAATTTTTAACTTTTGTAATGTTTTAATATATGTTATACTAAGGTTATCCGAACTACCCCCCCAACGTGCGTTCACCTTGTCGTGGTTGGGGGGGGGGGGGGGGGGTGCTCAGTAGTGCCCGGCAATCCAGCCGGGCGCGAAGCCAAGAAACGCACAGGGAGGCCCGCTTCGGTGGGCGGTGGGAGGCGGCCCTCTTCGGAGAGCGGTGTACCGTGCGGGTTGCTTCTGGTACTTCTCTGATAGCAGAGTGGACCTTGGAGCAACCCCCTGGTTATTGTGGTCTGCTTCTGCAGATCTGCCGTCGAGGCGTCGTAGTTGAATGCGTAAGCGATCCTGCGACGCCCCATTAAGACGGGGGAAGGTTTTGTTGGGGTTTTATTGGGTAGTACTGGCTTTGCCGGTGACTCCCACACTTCGTGCGTAAATGCATTTCCCAACGTTAAAAAAAAAGGTTATCCGAACTGAAGATATTTAGAATTTAAAAAGTTACTAAATTTTAGTTGTTGGTTTTATTTACTAATAACACTTAGCATTTTATTCTCGTTACTTTTAACAGTTGTGAGTATTGTATTACTGTTTTAGAATAATATATAACGAATAATACAGACTAAATTATCGGAAAACAATATCACTTGGCATTCTATTCTAGTTAATATGTTTAATATGTGTTATCACTGTCTAATGTAAGCTTGCTCTAATGACAGAAAAGAATGGCAAGATATTTCTTTGCTCAGTCATTATTAGTACTATTTATTAAAAACATGTTATAGCCCGAGAGCATGGATGACAAATAAAACCCGAGAGCTCGTGACGAATTTTGGGAAGGTCCTGTTGGCAAGTTGAAATTGTGAAAAAATATAATTTCGTGAATTGGCGAGTCCAGTCCCGAGAGTCTGGTATAGCTTTAGCGGTTTTTCGTTACTTTGCAGTGTATAACATTTGCAAAAAAAAAATATCAAAAAAAAAACATATTTTTGACAACTTGATTTTTGTTTAATCTTTTAATTTAGTTTTCATATAATTCAATAAAAGAACCCGAGACGTTTTTGTCGGTTATAAAGTATTGCCAGACCCCTCCAAAGATACTTTATTAAAATTCCCAAAAATATACTTTTGGCAATCTGAAATTTTAAACACGTACTTATTTATTGAGTAATTTTCAATAATACTTGCAAATCGCTAGACGAATTTACCGGTTTTAAGTCATTCCCAGACGTAAATAAAGTTTACAAATGAGTATTACAAAAAAGTCTTATGCGTAGCCATAGGTGCGAGAAAGATAGCTTATCGAGGTATGCCAGCAGCTGATGGGGGCCCAAGGGCCTCGCGCTGTAATTGGTTATCGAGAAACCGCGCGTTTCGAGTATGGTTCGGGTTCTGCGTTCACAACAGAGTATTTTAGAATAGTTTATTAGGGTTCCGTACCCAAAGGGTAAAACGGGACTCTGTTACTAAGAATCCGCTGTCCGTCCGTCTGTCTGTCCGTCTGTGACCAGACTGTATATCATGAACCGTGATAGTTAAACAGTTGAAATTTACACAGATGATGTATTTCTGTTGCCGCTATAACAACAAATACAAAAAACCAGAATAAAATTAATATTTAAGGGGGCTCCCATAGAACAAACGTGAATTTTTTGGCTGTTTTTATAGATAATGGTACGAAACCCTTCATGCGCGAGTTCTAAATTAAAAGATTAAACAATAATCGAGTTGCCAAAAATATATTCGTCACTTGTATTGTGTATTGTGCAAGCGTAATTATTGTTTTATACATTTTTAATTAATTCTCAATAAAAAAAAAAACGGGCCAAGTGCGAGTCGGACTCGCGCGAAAACAAGGCTTTGAGAGTCGTTTTTTGTGAGCTATAATATATGTATAATTAATTATTTAAAGATTAAGAACAAAATGTAACATGGTGTATTGTTAACTTAAATTAAGATCATTTTTACATTCATTATTAATTACGTTCTTATCACGCAATGTTGTTTTTATCTAATGGATCCTTTTCGAGACTATTTAATACTATGTATTACTTTATAAATGCAAAAGTGTGTCTATGTAATGGTTAAAACTTGAAATGTTTAAACAACCTTATTATACATAAGTCTTGCCATAAATATTGTTACAAAGAAAAGAACATTTTTTCTATTGCACGTAACATTTATTACTATTACAGTGTGTTAGTTTAATACATTAATGTAAAAATAATTAAAAATAAACAAAGCTTATTCGAAATGGTCTCCATTGGATGCAATATAGTCCTTTAAGCGATGAGGCCAGTTATCAATAGAAGCACGCACTCTTTCCATGGAAAAATTCTTCACTGCCAATAGTATGGATCGTTTTAGGGACTCCATATTATCATGGCATTTAGAGCACGCTATACTCTTTGAAACTGACCGTAAATCATAATCGAGTGGATTAATATCGGGACTAGATGACGGCTAGTCTTCAGCTCTGATGAAGTCCCGAACGTGAGTTTCTAACCAAGATTGCGTGGATCGAGCTCTAGGACCCGTCGCCGAGTCTTGTGGAAACGACCATTCTTGGTTATTGAACATGATGTTGTTAAGGGGCTTAACTACCTTCTCAAAAATAGTATCTTGATACACTTGTGCCGATGTTTTGATACTTTTTTCACAAAAATATGGCTCAGTCACTCCTTCATAGCTAACATCCCACCAAACTATCACTGAAATCGGATAATGCCCATGTTGTAGTCTGTTGACTAATTGGGAAGTTTCCTTAGAGTTTTGAACACAAATAAGGTCATTTTGTTTGTTAAAATATTGCCCAATTGTAAAAATTTTCTCATCCGCAAAAATTTTTTTTCTGACATGTTTTCTGATATTTTTCAAGTAGTTGTATTGATTTTACCACCCTATTCTTTTTTAAATTAACAGTTAAGAAATGACCAGTGCGTCTCTTATACGCTGCAAGTCCTAAGTCATCTTTTAAAATACGCGACACGGTTCTAGGTGCTATCTTCATCTCCCGAGATAAAATCTTTTGCTTTCGGACAGAATTTCTTCGAATTCTTTCCCTTACGGCTTTGATCGCCTTCTTCGTACGAACACTACGTGGACGGCCAGATCTTTTTCTGTCACGATCAGAGGAGGTTTCATTGACGACACGCTTGGCTCAGTTTGTAGTAACCCTGCTTGCTGTGCCAGCGGTTGCAGGTTCGAGTCCCGCTGGGGGCATTCATTTGTGTGATGAGCACGAATGTTTGTAATCCAGTCATGGGTGTTTATATTTATAATATGTATGTATTTAAAATTATATTTATGTAGTGTATCAACTATCTGGTATCCGTAACACAGGCCTCGTAGCTTACCATGGAACTAGATGGTGGTGTGTGATAATGTCCCAACATATTTATCATATTTTTTTTATCATTGTACCTACCTATCAATAGCCCGTTACACAAATATATGACTAGTACCAAGCGTATGGACAGTTTTAAAAATTGTATTTGGCTCCATACCTACTTTGTGTAATGCAATCACAGCGATAACGATTCGGTTCCCTTTTTCAACTCACTCCATTTTAATATCACAAAATATTTTACAATGTATTGGCGCGAAAATGAGAAAACACAATGAAAAATCATATAAAAATGACAGATTCCAAATTCAAATGTAATGTTTTGTTTATTTTTAATTGTAACAGCATTTATGGCCAGACTATTTATGACATTTAGCGCGAATATTGAGAAGGTATTATTAATTTCAAGAAGCTTGTATTCGGGGAATATATAGACCATATTACGTATATATAAAGAATTATATTTTTAAAAAAGCAAAACGATAAATTCACAAGTGATTTTAATGAAAAAGGCAAATCTTTTAGTAAATATTCCAGGTTTTGTTATAACAGATACCACATATCTATACTAATTATAGTATAAAGAGGTAAAGTTTCTGAGTTTGTGAGGTTGTAGGGGGTAATCTCTGAGCTTATTGAACCGATTTAGATGTTTGTTAAGAAGATAGTTTGAGACCCTGGGGAGGGCATAGGATACTTTTTATCCCGGAAATCATTCCTTAAGGGGGTCAAAATGAGGGTGAAAGTTTGTATGGGGAATCAACCTAGGGACGAACCCGAGGGAACCGAGGGTGAGTCTCTAGTAGCAAATATTGGTACCGTCAGTTAATATGTTAATAATCATTATGAAAATGTCCATTTTTTCATACAAAGTGATTGTTGTGGCCCGTGGGAAATACCTAATGGCAACAATTCATCTTAAACTACTATTACTCACAACAATAGCTTGATTTTCCATAAAAAAAGTATTTATATATGAAGTAGCCGTCACCAGTAGAAGTAGCGTACCAGGACCAGTCCTACTGGTACGTAAATGTAGGGCTCAGAAACCCGTTCAATTTTTAAACTGGTTTTGGTCATAGACCCTAAACCGAAAGGCTTTTTGGTTTAGGTTTCGGTCACTTTCTTTAACCGGTTAAAACACGGAGAATGGTTTTAACGAATTTAGGTTCCATGATCGAATTAACCGGTGAGTTTTTAAGCGTTTACATTCGGCGAATCTTTGCTAATAGTGAATTGCCTAGTAGAAGGATACATGTACGTTTCTTACTTATGAATGAATTAACCGGTTTATTTCGGTATCAAAAACGAAGTCTAATCTTTCTCTAAGTTATTTTGGTTTACTAAACCGTTCGTTTTCATTAACCGATTAAAGAACGAGCGATGAATTAACAATTTACGTTACCGAAATAAACCGTTTTTTTAAACCGGTCCCAAGCCCTACGTATATAGCTCTTTTGGCCTTAGATACCTTAATATATATTTAGGTTTTTCGCTTTCAAAATAAATATTTAAGTTAAATATAAAAACACAAATGTATAAAAAAATTATCGTCGTATCATATATCGTATTTATTTTATATCGTCTTTTGTTTTTATTGGCGAGAAAAAATATTTATGAACGTAAATTAAAAAAAAAACATTCATCTACGATACGATATCCGACAAGATAATTCCACATCGATTAATCAAAGTCCCATATAACGATAAGTTCAATAGTTTTTACGTGATTGCGTGACAAAGCAAAAACCGTTGTCATTATATAAATTTATTTTCATTATATATACATTTTAAAACATTTTTATTTATTAAAAAATATTTATTAAAAATAATATTTTATATTTAATCACATATAATATTAGTCCAGTCAAATTTAATCTCGAAATGAAAATATTGTCGTGTGTCTCGTGTGACGCGTGACAAGGTATTAGGTACCTACTATCAGAATCGTATCTTTGGAATTTTAAACCAACTTACATGATGCCAAAACAAAGGTAAATAATATATTATATTCTATTCAGAAGTTTACACCCATTTCCTGTTATTTGAATGTTCTTATATCTATTTATCACATTTATATCTATACTATAATAAAACAGTAGAGGTCGAATGTCTGTCTGTACGTAGCAAAAAAATACTAAAAACCGAGTCATGAGGATGTAAGAAGACAAATAGAAAAAATCCAGATTTTTTCAATTTTTTTGTTTCTCTGTTTGTCTGTTTGTACGGGCTAATCTCCGAATCTATTGGACCGATTTAAATGAAATTTTGCATGGTGGTACCTTATATCCCCGGGCAACATCTTAGATACTTTTTATTCCGGAAAATTCAGTAGTTCCCGTGGGATACTTAAAAAAACTATAAAAACTTATACAGCTTTGTACAGAAAAACTAGACGCTAATATTTTTTTTCCCTTGGTTTTAATCTTAATGTAACTTCGTCTCGAGGTCTTAATATAAGTTCAGCACAAAGTAGAGGTTCTTCTTCGAATTTCGACGGTAGCACCACGAAATTCTTTATAATACTTGCTATAGTGACTTTCATTTCCATCATTGCAAACTTTTGTCCTGCAAAATAATTGTTCATTAATTGTTTTCCTACCAAAGGTCATGAGTCTGATTAGTTATCTTGTTGAATCCGGGTTCGATTACTGTAATATTTAAAAGTTTTTACGTCCGCTCATAAAAAGTATAATTGTATAAAATAAAATTATTAAAAACAACCTTCAAAGGATTATTAAAAAATTTTGTTTCTTTATTAAAAATAATTGAAAGCAAATATAATTAAAGTATAAATTCATTATAAGATTTGCGATTACTACCTCGCAAACAAAAAAGTTTAATTTCATATAATATATTTTTTGCGTCTTAGCGTCCCGACTTTATCAGTTAACTCTTGAGCTTTTAAAAAAAATTAGCAAATAACATACCGGCTTTAATTTTATCTTTAAAAACCAAAGCCGGTCCGGATCTTGTAAGATAATTTTTTTTAAACAAGCCTTTATGTACATATATGGTAAAATAATATAATACAAATTTTAGTCACTTTCTTGTAGTCAAGAAAATGAAAAATTGGCCATTATAAAATGAATCTAGTTCTATAATTTTAATATTACTCTCTTTACCTATACAGTTTCTTGGGCCCGCGCTGAACGCTAGCCATGTAAAGGCATTCTTAGCTGTTTGTGGCGATAACACCGGGTCAAATCTCTCCGGACGGAACTCCATGGGGTTATCATAGAAGTCTGGATGACGTTGCATGTCAAAAATGTTAACTACTACTGACGTGTTTTTTTTAATTTTTAGTCCGGCTATCTCTAAAACAGAAAGGGTAAATAATGATTACACTTGGAGTATGTTAGAGCTTGAGATAGGAGAAGCATTACTTCCCCCCGATTTGTGTTCACCTTGTCATGGTGGACGGGGGAGGGGGCACGGGAGGGGGCACGGGAGAAGGCGCGGGTGGGGGCGCGGGAGGGGGCGCGGGAGGGGGCGCGGGAGGGGGCGCGGGAGGGAGCGGGGGGAGGGGGGGCTGACGTTTGTGTTTTAGTGGGTAGTACTGGCTTTTGTAGCCTGTGAGTCACACGTAACCACCTGTATGTATACAGGCGGTATGCCTTAATGCATTTCCCAACATAAAAAAGATGAAGCATTACTGTCTCTATAATATTAAGATTTAAATGCTTCAATTAAATAACTACTATAAAATTTTCATTTACCTATACTATACCGTACATAGATATTAATAACAATAATAATTTCCTCCTTATTGACTTGTGCCAAGGAGTTCAATCTCACTGAGACTAGCCAAATGCGCAGGAGATATTATAATGCGTACGCGCAGCCACAACGTGCACGTTCTATTCCTGTCACTCATTCCTACCTATAGGATGACAATTCGACATCATCAGTCATTAGACGCGGGACCGACGGCTTTATTACCGCCTTATATACCGCCAACTTTCCAATTTCGCCTGATACTGTGAATTTATTAGTAGAAAAATCCAATAACTATACTAAGCTCGGGATTCTAACCCAGGACCTCCGGATCTGCAGCCGTTCGGGCTAGTCACTAGACCATTGAGAACTTCGTTTTTAACTACAAAACTCTAATAATGATGTGTAAAATATATTTTATGTTACATACACATACATTATAAGTACATTATGATACATTGTTACAGAGATTTTTTTTTTCTTATTTACCTCTGACAGATCTCAGAAAACATGCTATTTGAATTAGTCGGAAAACATTAAACTAAAGAAAAACGTTAGTTCAATATTTATAACTTGCGTAATACAATAGCAAAACAACAACAACCCAAGGTCACTATTAGTGATGAAGAAAAAAAGACTTTCTCATCTTCCCCATTGTAGCGTAAGTTTATCAAGCATCTGAAAAGAGTGCTTTTAAAGTGCTTTTCTTTATCAAAACTTGTCCTATTGTGAGCTCTTTTGAGAGTTATCGTAGAATAAAAGAACTAATATTGCTCCCTTCAAATGTCCAAGCAAAAAAGTCTGAAAAACTTGATCTATTGTCCGTATCACTTGGATAAAATATGCTGCTTTGATTATAATATATGTACATAATATATATGAATATCGCTGTTACAAAGTAGTTAATACACTATATTGTCAATCATAAAGTATATTTTATTTCATTTTACAATCCAATTAAGATATCTAGTCCGTTGATTGATTGTATAGGTATGTAAATATATGACTATTTTATTAACTTTGTTATATTATTATTAATCTTAATTTTAACTGCCTCGGTGGTATAGTGGCTAGCATGTACGGCTGCACACCCGGAGGTCCTGGGTTCGAGTCCCGGGTCGGGCCAAGTTTAGTTATTGAGTCTTTCTGTATAAGTAAGCCTCAGTAACAGCCCGGAGTTGGGAAGTTGGCGGTGTTTCACCCCCGTGCCTCGGACACCAGAGTATGAGAGTGACAGGAACAGAGAGTGCACGTTGTGTCTGCGCGTACACTTGTGCACTATAATATCTCCTGCACAGTTGGCTAGTCTCAATGAAATTGGCCGCCGTGGCCGAAATCGGTCGGGAGAACATCATCATCATCAATCTTAATTTACAAAGTCTGTCTTGTTTCTTTCAACCCGAATGCTGCGAAGCACGAAGGAGGGTCATATCTGTTTTAGAGGAAGAGCCCGTGAACGCCAGACCTTCGTCATTTTATAAAGGCTGAAAGTTTGTCAGCGCATGCTCCCAACACAGATAAGAACGATGGACCATTATGAAGTTCAGGCTATGGTGGCTTTGGCAGGTACGTGGTACTAAAGGTGTGTAAAATACCGATCTAAATTCGTCAAATAATAAAGTGTGATTTTTTGGTATTACCTTCAGAATATTATTAAAAATCACGTCATTCAATGCCAGACACTTAACATCGTGGCAAACCCTTGCCAGACACCCTTTTCATGAAATCATAATTCTACTTACGTTATAGTATAAAAGCTGATTTTTATATATAATACTTGGGTAATAATTAGATGATTTATAAGACTGTTAGCATAGCATTTATTACACACCATAAAAACTTTTCTAAACAAGTTGGGAGGCATTTCTAAGAAATTGTTGCAAATGGTCACCAAATTTGAAGCGCTAAGAATTGACTTTATTTTTGTATCGCACACTGGGTCACTGTCCGATCACTTGCGTCACTTGCGCGTGATACAACGTGCTGGGGAAAGTGTGCGCGCGCGCAACAAAGATAGGAATCTTTGAATTTGTTATTATCAGTTATTATCGGTATACTTATTCTAGAACCGTTTAGTAAAATACCTATACACGTGTAAGTAATATAAATGTCTGTGAATAGTAGGTATGCAATGAGGTCCATTATTTATTCTTTAAGCTGTCCACTTTTGTTTAATAAAATCTTTACTATACTAATACAGGTAAACTACGATTTTATTATACGTATAGATTAATAGATTTAATGTAATATAAAACAGCATGCTCAAAGTCAAGTAAAAGATAGAATAAAACTGGAAACCAGAAATATTTAGACAACAAACAAAAACCAACGACGTAAGAGTCTGCATTAAAAAACTTAAATAGAGGTGGGCAGGACATATTATGATGAGGAGTAAGATAGAAAAGTGGGCTAAGGATATAACCGAATGGTATTCAAAACCAAATAAAAGAAAGAGAGGGTTGCAGAGTTTAAGATGGGAAGACGTTATCCAGCAAATAGCTGGTGTAACTTGGAGTAGGATGACCCATGATAGGAGATTATGTGGCAAGCTCTAGGGGAGGCCTTTGTGAAGATAAAATATGTAAATAAATTAGCACACGTTTTTACATGTTGTTTGTTGTTTTCTTGTTTAATAAAAATATATATATATATTAATATATTTTTTTATTATGACGTTCTGTGAGATCCAGTTATGTGTATAATAATAAATTACAACCTACATACATACGTACTATTTAATATATATATTTTTTTCAGTTTTACATTAGTGCTAGTTAGTTTTAAAGAACAAATCTTGGTATTATTGCTAAGGAAAATAGATCACTTACCAATATCTTTAGTTATGAGCCTCTCAATTAATGGCACGGAAGGATAAATACGTAGACCCTCTTTAATGACTTGTTCTAAATATTTCATTCTTTTTAGATCACTGAAAGTTAGAATTTTATTGTTAAGATTGCTAAAAAATATTTACTACTAGCACAACCCGCGTCTTTGCTTGCTCTAAAACTACACAAAAACCTCTAAAAAGGAAGTTTTCATATAAACTTTTCTCTCCTATTTTGGATTATGGGATAAAATTCGAAAAAGGCTAAAACACGTATTTATTAATAGTATTGAAGAGCATTAATACCAAGTTTCAAGTAATTCTGATCATAAATATTTTTTTTGGGTTGTATTTTAACGTGTTTTCCGATGGGATAATCTACCGCGGTAAAAAAGGAGCCTATATCACTCTACAGACCCCAACTACATCCATACAAAAATTACGCCACTCCGTCACTCTGTTTTGACGTGAAAGATGGACAAATAAACAAGAAAACAAACATACAAACAAACACACTTTCACATTTATAATAGCAGTTAGTATGGATAACTCAAAATCAGGAACTTTTTCTTCATTAATACCTAATTTTGATTTAGTGTACTTAATCTGAAAGATATTTTGTTTTTTTGCTGCTTGCAATATAATAAAATCTTAAATATTAAAATCTTAACTACTACCTAAAAGTATTTTTAAATGTGCCTTCTAAATGATTAAATGTCTTAAGATGTATGTATGTAATCAGAAATCCCTTTTTAACGTCCCACTGCTGGGCACGAGCCTCCCTTCAATGCGAGAGGGATCAGTTCGTCGTCCACCACGCTAGTTAAGTGTAGGTTAACAACGGACTTCGAAAACTTGCTAGGTTCTCTTAGACATGCAGGTTTCCTCACGATGTTTTTTTTCACCGTAAAATAAGTGGTAATTATATTGGAAATACATAGTTTGACACATGAAAATATCAGAGGTGCAAGACCCGGGATTTGAACCCGCTACATTCGGTTTCTCAAGCAAGGGCGTTACCACTAGACTTACACTATCTTTCTCTCATAAGATTCTGTTCTGAAATTTATTTCAATGGAACATTTATTTTTCTCTTTCCATGTGACGAAACATGATTAGTAAATCTATACATATAATAAAATTCTAACTAAACCGAATTTGTACATTAAATAGTTTTTGGAATATCTTATTAAAAAAGAATTTAGTATCGATAAAAAAAAATCTATAGTTTTTACAATTTTTGTCTGTCTGTCTGTCTGTCTGTCTGTCTGTCTGTCTATCTGTCTGTTACCGCATCACGAAAAAACCACTGGAGGGATTTTGATGAAATTTGGTATGATGGTAGCCGGTTATCCGGGTCAACATATAGGATACTTTTTATTGCGGGAAAATATCTCATTTCTGAGAAATCTATACTAAAAGTTAAAACGTAAGTAGGGACGAACCTGAGCGGAGCGAGGGTGAGTCGCTAGTAAATAATAAATATTATACCAATAGGAATAAAAATATAGCTTACGAATACTGAGGATCCTGATCCATGTTTTCACCAAAGATGCTTTTTTGTTCTTCAATTATTTTCTCTTGAATATCTAGATGTTTCGACAGACAATACAATGTAAAAGTAATTCCAGATGTAACAGTGTCGTGACCCTGAAAAATAACCATAATTTATTGAGGGAAGATTATAAATTGTACTTAATAATAATATGAGATATTGCGTGCATTAATAATATTTTTCTTAAATTAACCACTATTTATTTATAAGGTACCAATGTCCCTAGATGCTCTTTTCATTTACGTACAGTGCGGAAATTCTTCTGAAAAGATTTTTTCTGACTTATATACATAATACACATATACATAATACAAAAATATTATTATAGGTACCGGTAGTTTATTTTTATAATATGTTATTAAATTATAGCTTCCTTCCTAGATATATTGTTTTTATTGGCGAAAACCGTGTGAAAGTCCATTCAGTAATTCCTGAGGCTAGGCCGAACAAACTGAAATTATGAGGCGCGAGACTTTATAATATGTAGTAAACAGATGTTTGTATCATTTTGTAAAATAAAAGTTCATAATGCAACAAAAACTATTATATTATATTAATTATTATATTATATTATATTATTATATTATATTAATTATTATATTTTATTATCATTTATTATAACTAGTGGCATTGGTTATAATTAAGTTAATTAATGATGTTTAAGACATGGATACCCTGTGCGTGACTGCAATTTCAAATTAAAAAAAAAAGGTTATCTGTACAAACATAAGTTCTCTACGATTTTATTATAAATATATTTATTTATCTATATCTGATACCTATTTTAAATGATTAAATAATTAATTATTTGAGACCTGAAAGCTACCTAGTAATATTTTTACCTACCGCTGATTTGAAAACGACACGTGCAACTAAGAAGTTGCAATAGTTGGATAAAAATCTATGCTATTAGAAAATACGACAAGAATTGAAGAGAAATAAGACAGATTTAAAGAATAAAGTCTGTTAATGAAATGAAATTTCTTTTTCACGTATGACAGACATATTTGATCGCATAAGCTCACGTAATTACAAAAAACAGGCACTAGTGTAGTATTACATTATATATTTAGTAATCTGTGGTTCAGGGTTCCGTTGCTTGGAACATTAAAATTTAAAATGATATGTTTTTGCCTCAGACCAATTAAAATTTTTTTATTGGTCTGAGGTTTTTGCGTACGTTATTTGTTAATAAAATATTCACACGCTTACAACAGTCATTTGATCGACTAAAAAAGATAAAATTAATATTAATAATTTCATAATACTTTTATGAAAAACTAATCCATTTTTGGGACGGAACTTGTGGTTTTTAACCCACCCCTATATTTTATTTTTTGTAATTTGACTGCTGTATTTATTATCTAATAGTTGTAACGCGGGGTTTTTACAAACAACGGTGATCGCGGGGTATCGTGTCGGAACATGTACGATCCTGTAGGGCCGTGTTTCGTGCGATCGTATAGTTTAGGCGCCCGCGCCCCCCCGTCTCCCGCGAACGCGTGAGCGACGGCGTGGCTCGACCAGGCAGAGAGCCGCGAGCGCCGAACGCGTAAACATCTATATCATAACGATCCTCCACGACTCTCATTTTCGCGCAGTTGTAAGATTTTATGTAATTTTTTGTGTAACTTCTATAACCATAAGTTTTCTTGTCAAACCTCAAGTGAAATAAATATATTTTTAATAGACTGTTGTGTACCTATTAAACTGGCGCCCATACTAGTGGCTCGAACTTTTAAACTTATATACTAGTGCGTGAAGATGCCTATGACGAGGAGAGGGGAAACGTTTCGGCAGCAGCGAGGGGATGATGCCGCAGAGGGAGAGGAGAGCACCATCGAGCACGGCCACGTGGACGGAGCTGCGCGAGCCGGCTCGACACAGCAACCAGCACCCCAGCTCCCCGAACACTTCCTATCCGCGCTGATGGAAATGATCACGCGTGCGCAAGTGGAAGCAAATAGAAGCCTTATCAATTCTCTAATGACGTCCAGCAGTGAATTTAGGGCATCCACCCCAGTCGTGGCCTCTCAAACAAATAATGTGAACAGCGGGAGTGGTACTGCTGCCAGCGTCGCGAGTGTCGACGCCAATTTTACTAAGTGCACGGCGCGGTTCAACGGGTCGTCCCAGGACGCAGAGGTATTAGAAGCGTTCCTGGATGCCGTCGAGATATTTAAGGAGTGTGCGGCCGTGAGTGACGAGCTCGCACTCCGCGGATTGCCGATGTTGCTGGAGGGTGAAGCGGCAGTATGGTGGCGCGGCGTTAAGGCGTCGGTGACTACATGGGCGGACGCGGTCGCCCGCCTACGCGCGGCGTATGGCGTGGCGCAGCCCGCGCATCAGATTCTACGGCAGATCTTCGCTACGGAGCAGCAAGAAGAAGAACGCGCCGAGTCGTTTTTGTGTAAAGTGCGAGCGTTAATTGCAAAGTTACCGTATAAGCTCGATGAAATAGTGCAAGTTGATATTTGTTACGGGTTATTACACCGACGTATTGTTAAAAGAGTTTCCCGCGATAATGTTCGTAATTTAGATGACTTAATGTATAAAACGAGGATCGCGGAGGATATGTATAAAACTCTTAAGGTAAATAAGGATAACAATAATAGTAATAATTGTAAAAACGCGATTTCACGAACATCAGTCACTACTACCGGTCGCGATCTCACTCGATCGAGTTTTGATAGTACGAACGCGATCACTCCGCGTAGTAATAAAAACAATAGGCCCCGATGTAGTTATTGTAAATTATTTGGGCATCTTAGTGAAGAATGTCACAATCGTGAGAAGGTTATTATTAATAATAATAATGATAAACATTTGTATAGCGATAGCACGCGTAAAAGTATACGTTGTTACGGTTGTGGTAAGGAAGGTGTCGTGAGGTCGAAATGTGATATTTGTGTGAAAACTTTAACGAATTCGGATGGTAAAACTTCGTTCAATAATTTGGATGTAGATTTTAATAATCACGATAATTGCGTTAATAATAATAATAGTAGTATAAGTAATACAAGTGCGTCATGTATTAAGTTAACTAACGTGAGTACGCGTGAATCGTATCCTATGGTTAATATATCTGTTATGGGTCGTACCGGAGTGGCGATAGTGGATACGGGCGCTACGCATAGTATTGCGAGTCCTTTATTATATAAAATTTTAGTAGACTTGGGAGTACACTTTAGTAAAGTTAAACGATTTGTACACCTGGCTGACGGTACACAAGGATGGAGAGACTTGTTGACGGCCGAGGTAGGTATAGATATCGAAGGCCATAGTGTAATGTGTCAATTACTAGTGTTGCCAGGTTGTGACACTAGAACACTTCTAGGTATAGATTTCTTGTCTCGGGCCGGAATGGTAATAAACGTAGCCCAGCGCACTTGGACATTTATGGATAGTCCCGGACAGTGCTTCAATTTTATTTATTCGTACACACTTGACCCTGCAGGTACAGATTTATTGCATGCCGCATCTGATGAGCTGATGTTGCGCGCAGACGAAGGATCTATGTTAACCCAGGAGCAACAGAATAGACTTAATGCTTTTATTGAGGATCGCGCGCCGCAATTTGCACGCGATGGACCGGCGACGGAGTTCGCCACGCATCGAATTAAGGTGAGTCCACAACAAGAACCAATTGCTTGTCCACCATATAGAATGTCACAGAGTAAGAAGGAGGCCTTGCAGAAGGAGCTTGAAAAGCTGCTGCGAGATGACATCATTGAAGAGTGTGAGTCGCCGTGGGCCTCTAACGTGGTATTGGTGGGGAAGAAGGACGGTAATGTAAGGCTCTGTATTGATTACCGGAAATTGAACGCGGTGACCGAGCCAGACCGATACCCGCTTCCACGTATCGAGGACATTCTGCATGCAGCTAAGTCCAGTGAATATATGACTACTCTGGACCTTCGTTCAGGTTACCATCAGGTAAGTGTCTGCCCAGAGGACCAAGATAAGACCGCGTTTACGACGCCACTTGGTACCTTTAGATTTAAGAGGATGCCTATGGGACTGCGGAATTCCGGAGCAACCTTTCAGAGGTTGATGGACCGATTCCGGTCCAACCTGAAAGAAGTAGCGCTCCTAGCGTATCTAGACGATCTGATACTGCTGTCGCCGGGACCTTTCGAGAGACACCTGGCTGACCTGGAGGCGGTCTTTGATCGGTTGGCTATGTTTAACTTAAGAGTGAACAGAGGTAAGAGTTTTTTTGCGAGAGAATCTGTTAAGTTTTTAGGACATGTTATTGTACCAGGCGGAATCCAGGTGGATCCTGACAAGACGGCGGCTATTGATAATATGCCCGCCCCTCAGAATGTTAAACATTTAAAATGTTTCTTACAAACGGCGAGTTGGTATCGCCGCTTTATTAATAATTACGCAGAGATCGCGAGACCTCTTACAACACTCCTGAAGAAATCAAGTGCCTGGCGATGGGACGCCGAGCATCAGGAGGCGTTTGAGCGGATAAAGCGTCTCCTCGTATCCGCTCCCATTCTGCGTCAGGCGGATGAGTCGAAGCCATTCGTTCTCTGCACCGACAGTAGCGCTTACTGCCTCGGGGCTGTTTTAATGCAGGGGGAGGGACACGATGAGAGACCGATCGAGTACGCAAGTCGTCTTCTCACTAGTGCAGAGAAGAATTATACCACGACGGAGCGAGAGGCACTCGCCGTCGTGTGGGCGTTAGGTAAGTTCCGCGGTTACGTAGATACTGCGAAGGTAACGGTTAGGACGGACCACCAGCCTTTGCGATGGCTAATGAGTCTGAGGTCACCTAGTGGTCGGCTGGCTAGGTGGGCCCTAACATTGCAAGAGTTCGACCTCAACATCCAATATACACCGGGACGCTCGAACGTGGTTGCAGATACGCTTTCGCGACCAGTTTGTGCTGAGAACCAAGGTGAGTGCGAATTATGTATGACAGTCGTTGACTTACCAAAGAGGAGTAGTGGTGATATCCGCAGCAATCAACTGTTAGATCCAGAGATTCGCAAAATCATTGAGGACATGGAGTCTGACGAACCTTCTAGGGGGAGGCCATGGTCCGATCGTGGGTACACTATTTCCGATGGTATACTTTATA